GAGATGGTGCATGTTACCAGCAAGTGAAGCTGGTTGCTGATACGTGTACAATACAACTGCAAGTGTTTGGTCTTTATCTTGTGAGATACAGTGCTTTATGTATTTATTAAAAAGGGAGAGCTGCTTTTTTAATGTGAAGAAAAATGAATGGAGGAGTTCTGCTATCACAGAAGTCTGTGGGAGTCATGAAGTTAATTAGACTTGGATGAGATTGTATCCAGTCCAATTCATCCCATTTAATTTATTTTACTAACAAAATCTGGTCCTGAAATGCACTATGAGCAAACTACATACCTGAGACAGCCATTTGGGATTTGTTTATGTGAAAAGTGCTGCAAACTCGTAAATCATCTCTGTTATTCAGACAAGCTCCTCATTTTTGAGAGGGGAGGGCACGTTTTTCATATCGAGGATAAACCAAGGACGTGAATTAGAATGTTAAAGGATAGCACAGCATGATGAAGTAAGGAGAGAAGTCACTGGCCAACAACCTGATTTGCAGCTGATTTCAACAGATTTTTTCAGCAAGTCTGACTGCAATAAGCAAGGTACAACCAGCAGCAGGAGTGGTGAGGAGCAGAGCTGAGCAGGGAACAGAGTCCTGGCTCTGTCCACAACCCCTTCTGCCATCTCCAGCTGAAACCTACCTGATCATCACCTAGTCTGCAAAATACTCTTCTTACAGAAAAGTGGCATTAAAAAGAAAAGAAATCTGCAAAAAGCTCAAGATCCAGAGTTCCCTCCCCTCCAAGAGCTGTAAACTCGGGTATGATAAAAGGAGTGTACTCTCCTGGTAACACCAGGAATTGCTCCGTGCACTTCCACGGGCAGATGTATTTGTCTGACAAACCAACACCTCACAAACCTCATGTGGATCTGCAGTTTTCCTGCTGATCAAATCACAGGTGGCTGTTTCTAGAGGTTTGTTAGTTAGCACTGTCTCTTGGGGAATGTACAGGCTTTAGTTTGCTCTCTGGTCATCAAACAGACATCCCATCCTAGCAGGAGCTCTCATGTCAAATTAACAGGTATTTAGAAAGGGTATGTTGCTCATAGAAGCAATGTCTTGCCAGAATTGTTAAAATTACAATATTATCTTTTTAACTCTTACTATACAATTTTAGAACAGATTTCTCTACTACTTAAAATATTCAGAATTCATACCTCTAAGTTGTATAGTCATCAAGTACTATTTTTACCTGTAATTAGTGTTCCATTATACTTGTTCAGACAGTGTCCATAATCCAAACACTCATCCAAACCCCAAAGTAAAAAAAGGCACATAAACATTAAATATTTGCAGGAGAAACATAATCTGATATAAACAAGCAAACACACAGCTGTGACTGTAAATTACAAAAAGAAACAGAAACTAAGCAAAAAAAAGCAAAAAGCAACTCTATTTATACATGTGCAAATCAACTTGCATATATGAAATAAATGAGGTTTTTATTGGCATTTTTAAACAGTGTGTATTTACCAACTTTACCTTTCAAAGGCAAGCCTTTTATGTTCATTTCAATAAATATGTAAATGCTTCTCTCAAGTTCTCTAATCTTGTAGGAACAAGATTTTTGAAAACAACTAGGTCACGTACAAAAATACAAAATTTTAAAACAAAGAATGTCTTGATATGAGAGATATGTTTGAAAGCTCGTAAGAGGTTTTTCAATTCAACTTTTGACATTTTTTTTCCCTCATCAGTCGCTGATCAATATATTCAAATGCAAGTCATGCAAAAACCTGATTTCTGAGTGAAGGAAGCTGCAAGTTTCACTGTCAGACTGAAACACAGCAGCTCAGCCCCACCTCCAGCGTCCCTGGTTAAGTGCAATAATTGGACTACACCTTTATCCTCTAATTAGGAATGAAAGTAGTTACGGAACTTGGACAGAAGGCTGCCCTCTGCCCTGAAATGTAGGTATATATTATATGCCTTAGTAAATAATTCCACCATCCCACATGGATTTGCCCCAGTGCTTGTCTGTGGAAAGGTTCCCTTCCTCACCAAGCACCAACACCCACTGCTGGTGACGGTGTGAAATCTGGTGCAGTGAGTGATGTTTATGCACTTACAGTTCCCGTACGATGGTCTCCTTTTCAGAAAGTTACACTGAAGCTGTATTTCCTACAAGCAATCTTTCTTCTGAAAACAGAGGTTAAAATTAACAATACAGGCCTGTCAAGTTACAGGTCTTGATTCTTTTTCCTTTAGGGAGTTTTCTCTATAGATTTTGGTGGAAACAGAATCAGACCCAACCAATTCTGAAGCCAATATGGATGTTCTGTCCCTGACTGAAATGCAAGCAGCATCAGTGTTTGCTGTTCCATTTTTGCCAATATGCAGTAATTCAGTTCAGTAGGCTAGAAAGAAACAGTGCTACAGCATGAAAATAACAGAGCTTATAATAGACTCTCCCTGCTGTGGTGAAGGCAAACTTAGCATTGAGCAAAGCACTAGAGCAGAAAATTTTATAACAACAACTACCAAAACCCTCCCAATCTGTAAAAGTTTAGAGGCAAAATAAAATGCAGTATGCCATGTGGACCATACAGTGTGTGTGTGTGAACAAGCAAATATGTATTTACAGCAAAGAATTACACTACAGCAAAACCTACGTGTTTTGCATTCGTTAAGTGCACACATACGAACCTTTGTTTCCAACATAATTCTGTGATAGCTCATTCCAAACTAAATTCCTGCCTGAAGAACCTCAGGCTAAACTGGTAAAGACACATTCTGCTGTTGCCTTTACTCTCAGCACCAGGTGGGAGTATATATACTTTTATACACAGAATTTTCCAGTTGCACAAATACGCGCAGGAATGTGGGAAATATTTTATATAAATACAAAATTAATTGCTGTGCCTGCTCAGACCCATTTCCAATCCTCCTCTCTCAGCTTTTCCAGGGTATTAAAACTATTGCAAACTACATTTGTGCTGACTGAAGCAAATGCTGAGCTATGGAACAGTATGAACTTTCATCATAGTTTTGTTTGTTTTCTTTTCATACCAAAAGTTTGCCTCCCATTTTAGAACCCAGCTGTTCTGGTTCTGGAAAATTACTCTAAAATACAGCAGATTTTATCATGATCACAACCCAGTCACTGGTGAACCTGCTGCTCAACAGCTCCCACATATCCTCTGTGGATACTCAGCAATCTCTCAGGATTAAGTTCCTGTGTAGTTCACGGCAGTGTTATGGAGTGTTACAGGCTAACACAGCCAGAAGTGCTGAGGCAGGAAACAAAACCTGTGGAACAGCTAATTAACTGCTTTTAAAATGAAACTTTAAATGGATGCTGTTCTGTTCTCCTGTCTTGAGAATTCATCCACAATGGAACAGCACTTCCCTTGCTTGGTCTTTGGTAGGTCAAGAGATACACCAACATTCCCACACGGATAATGAATGCCAGTTACAAGAAAAACCTGAACCAACCAGATACATCCAAGAAAGGAACATTTCAAATATCTATGCTCTTCATTATCACCTGGCAATGTTTGTTAAATCTTTATGAAAAAACCCTTTGTGTTGATTTGAGGGTTTCTTCCAGTGTGGTCAGAGCACATCCAAACTGCTCACCTGCTTTAAAAACACACTGCAGATTTGTTTCTCACTCATCTGAGCACATCACTTCCTGACTACAGATGGTGCTGTCAAGCGTGACACCTTCTGCTAAAAATAACAAAAATCACCTGTACAAAAAGAAGTTGTTTCAGAAGACTTAACTTGCTGCTCTAAAAAGTGAAGTTTGATTTGAATTCCAAACGCTTTAATTGTTTTATTCTTAATTGGTAAGTTGTGCCTGCTAAATAAAATAAAAAATTAAAAAAAGGAAAAAAGTAACACACCCCCTTCCCAAACAGAAAAACAATCAAAGAACCCACGAGACTGATCAGTGCTTTTCTTAGCAGTTGTTTGTCTCCTCTTATTTGTTCTTCAGAAAAAAAAATAATTATCTTTAAAAACCTAGCTAGTTATGAAGACATTTTACATTTCTACCATACAATAATTATAGTTAGCTTAATTTAACCTTCCTATGTCATTCAGCAACACTTTAACTACTGGAAGCCGTAGCAAACTAAGGCTCTAATGATAATATTGCTCCAATGATGCTGAAGATTTCTTGCTTCACACATTATTTCTAGTAGACAGACAACAACAGAAGCATGGGCAAATTCCAAGGATTATTTTCTAAATGGGACCAGTAAACTGTGACAATTCTGAAAATGGCAGTATGTGTTTGTAGCTTTTCCACACTGAAAAGTGCCACAGCCCTAGTCAGTTGCTGAGCCACCAAGATGATGTGTCACACACTGGCAACTGCCTGTCTGCTCATTTCATGATACTCTCTGTTGAGACTGCTCTGATGCAGCAGCAGTGATGCAGACAATACCTTCTTGTATACAAAGATTTAAAAAAAAACAAAGAAAAAGAAGTAAGATCTGGGCCCAGATAACCCAATCATGGGTACAGAGTTATGTTGTGATTCCAAGTTCTTGGGAAGTAAACCACTTTATAGCCATTCAAGCTAAAGCAGTACCTAAACCAGTGCACCTATAATTAAATGTCAGTCCTTCTCTACTGGAATGAAGTCCAGATCCTTTATCTAACCATGATGGAGAGATGTTGTAACTCATTAAAAAAATAGAACACACTTCATCCAAACAACAAAAAAGGAAGTTTGATGGGTCTGGGAGTTTTCTACAAACTATCCTGTGCAGTCATCTTCAAATTGCTGTAGAACATGAAACTCATTTCTCTTTGCAAACAGATGAAGGAATCTGGAGAGTTACACTGCAAATGTTCTTATAGGAAGAAAAAAAAAAGATCAGTTAACTGCTTGTTATGAATCCCTCCTCTCTTAGTAGATAATTCTGCCCAGCAATGATAGCTCTGCCTGCAGCAAAAAACCTGGACAAAAGTGCAGGAAGTGTTAAGTAGCTCTTCTCCAAACTACTTACATTTTGTCCTCAACTCAAAAGCTCTGCTGCTGCTATAGGCAGTCTTTACAAAGTGCAACCTGCCCCTTAATGTAGTCTCTGCAGGGGCAGATTCTTCTGTGGGTTGGGTGGGCTCCGGCACAGCTGAACAATAAGAGGTCACCTTGGAAAACACAGTGCTTCCTTCTTCCATCAAAAGAGGGGACCAGAATGTCATTTGCAGACTCCATGGTGAGACATTCAATGTTATGCCTGAAAAGCAAAGCACACGATCTAAATCACAGTGGATTTTACAGCAGTTTGGTACAGTCTTCATCCTTCCTCGCCAGAAATAAAAAGCTGTATTACATCCTAAATCAGGTCCAGTTAGAATTGCAGGTTTTCAGACCATGACTTTCATCTCTTTTTGCCTGTGCAAAGTCTCTCTGCAGAGGGCAGTGCAGCCTTTTCAGCTTTACTCTGCTTCCTAAAGATTAACCCAAGTAGTCAAAAAAAAATGCTTTTGACTGTTCCCCAAAACACAGTATTTAAAGACACTGTGGACTTTTAGGAAGACAAAAATAAAGAACCTGAAATCAGGAGATATTCCTATTGATTATGGCAGGGATCCCCCCCAGGCAGCCCTGGGTAGCAGGAGGTGAGGGGATGCTGTGGGGTTCAGCCCACTGCTCCCCAGAACCAGCTCACATAAACTAGCTGAAAAAAGAAACATTCCATTGCCATTTTCTGACCAAAAGGCTTAAGCACAAGGGTAGCAATTACAGTAGAGGATTGTTTTTCACTTATTTTGGAAACATCAGTAGCTTTCAGCATCTGACAGATTATTTTTTCCACAGAATTATAATTTTGTCCAGACAGCTAGAAAAGAAGCCTGACAAAGTTTTTATATGAGCTGTTTCTGAACTCCACTGGAAATTACAACTTTTCACACAAAATATGAAAACCTCCTACAATTCAGTTTATCAAAGAGCAGAGATAGAACACTTAGAAAGCAGATTCCCTAGCAGCCATTTGTTGGAGCCCAGCTTTGAGGGCTTTTTATTCTTCCATTCTGAAAAGAAGGCAGAAGTGTTCCCAAAGAGAACCTGAAAGCAACGTTAATTTCCTTAATGCACAGCTGGTGAGCTTTATAAATTGGTACTAATACCTCTAATGTACAGGGGTTTACAATTCTTTACCTAAGACATAAATGACAAAAGCTTTGCAGTAACAGTAATTGCTAATTGCCAGTGAATATAGAAGTTTCAATATAGATGTTAATTGTGACTAAAGAGGGAGCTCAATAAATAAAAGTCACACTTTAAAAATGCTATACTGAAAATCAAGTGAACAGCTGACAGAAATCACACAATGTGCACAGAGTTCTACCCACTGCAGGAAAATGCATTTAGTTTCTCACCCAGCTGAGCCCAGTTAAGATTAGCACTAGGAGCCATACAAGTTTGCTAACTCTCTGAAGGATGTGGCAAAGCTATGGAATTAGTGCACCTGCTCAGCCAGGGCTGCCAAGGGTCCATCCAAGCACAATTACAGTCCTGGCATCTGTGATCCCTGCAGCAGAAGCATCTTCGCTCACTGCAAGCAACCCAACATCAAAAGGCACTGGTACAGTGCACATGAGGAGACAGAGGGGGAAAGAAGAGAGAGAAACTTGGGGTTTTGGTGCTGTACTCAGAAACACATGCTGTGAGGAATGGTGCCCTCAGCACAGCAGTAACTCACCCTCTACACTGTGAAGGACTGCCAGCTAACCTCCCAGCTTGCTGCAGCCAGGCAGGCAATATCTCTCTCCACACTTTTCCCTTCTCACACAATCCGTACATTAAACTTGACATGTGGCAAAAGCCAGTTCCATAAAAGGACACTAAATAATATGTTTGTGCTATGATGTACTTACCTAAGCAGAGCTTTGTCCTTGTTAAGATGCTGGAAGAAGGAAGGCTCACAGATGAGCTGGGTTTCCTGACAAACTTGTTTACATGATTTTCCAGGTTCAGCAATTTTTACTTGAAGGGCACTTAATGGGGGCCACATCACCTGCCCGTGACAGAAATCCTGCAGTGACAGATGATATTTTGTTGTGATACATCCAAGTCCCTTGACAGCAATTTTTCCCATTAGTAAAACAATAATTGAATCACAGAACTGTTTGGGTTGGAAGTGACCTCAAAGATCATCTAGTTCCAACCCCCACTGATCAGGTTGCTCAGAGCACCACCCAACCCTGGCCTTGAACACTTCCAGGGAGGGGGCATCCCAAAACTAAGCCAAACAGTAACTCTGCGGCTCACTTTGGCTGCATTAAAATAAAAATTTTAAGCCCCTTTAAAAATACTTTTTTTGCATGAGGGAATTATGACCTTTGATTTGAAGTATGGCAGCATCATTGTACCCAAAGAAGCTTCTTCCCTACCCTTTACCTTTTAGAATTTATCGTAAGCAACTCTAGCTACTCTCTTTACTTCCACACAGCCAGCCCATTCTGCCTCTCTCAGTGACTGTTTCACCAACTCGATGCTAAGCAGAACTATTTTTGTAACAGCACAAATATCAAGAGGAAGTCCTGTTAGGAGAAGAATTCCAGAGGCCAGTTACTCTGTAGGCGAGAAATGACTCCAGTGGCCCATGTGGAGAGCCATCTGGAAAGGACTGGCGACTCACAGTGCTATGGAGGGAGCTGAACTCGTGAAGATCTCTATAAAGCAACCAGGAGCCAAAGAGTTTGTTTGCTCTTCTTGGTTGAACTGCTAGTGAAAGTGCTCCCCCAACTCTGAAAGAAACTGGCTATAAGCAGGTGTGACCTCAGTGGAAAGAGGGAAGGAAGACACAGTTTCTAAAGACACCTGCTAGCAAAAACTATTCAATTACAAGTTCTTCTCGTCTTGACATTTAAAATGAGAAAAAGCAAAGAGAAAATGTTAAATAACTGGCTTTAACATTGCATGATACTCAGCCATTATTTGAACATATGGCAACTCTCATTAAATGCGATAAAGAAATCTGGGCCCAGTCCATCATGGTTTGCTTTCTCCTGACAAAACCAAAGCTTGTATGAACAGGTCCCACACTTCCCCAAAGCTTAGAAAGAATGAACTACCTGAAATTGTTTAATGGAGCTAAGACCCCAAATCATGTACCAGTTCTCAATATTGGTTGGGTGGGTTTTTCCTCTGTTTAGATTTCTTCTGCTGAAGGAGGAAGTTTTCATACTCCCAGGTGTAACCAATAAATTAATGTTATACAATCATGAATCACAGAACATCTTGAGTTGGAAGGGACCCAGGAAGATCACAGAGTCCAACTCCGCACTCCACAGAGGGCAACCTAAAAGCTAAACCACCTAAGAGCATTTTTCAAACACTTCTTATTACTGGCAGGCTTGGGGGGCCATGATAATTTCCCTGGAGATCTTGTTCCAGTGCTTGACCACCCATTCAGTGAAGAACTTTTTCCCAATATCCATTCTTAATTTCTCTGATTCAACTCTAAGCTATTCCCTTGTATTACATTTGAAGCAGCTGAGTAATTTTAGAGCATATTTATGGCAGAATAATTTTAACAGCATCTGAAAATATAGATTAACAATAGGTTGTTTCAAAAAGGCATTTTGTTATTTGGACTAAAGTGCTCAGATTAGTCTGTCCTTTATAAAATCAGTATTTAAAATAGTAGATGCAGGAGGAAATTACACAGGTTCAAAATCCAATCCAATAGTATATACTATATAATACTGTAATATATATTATATAATTCTGTAATATTGGACGGGATTCACAGCTAGTGCAGGCAGAACACAAAGTTTTACAATAGGTAATCACCTGAGAGGCTTCACTATTTGCTGAGGGCTTCAGCTTTTAACATCTCTTAGTTGAAAATTCTTCCCAAAAACTGAGCACAGCCTCCCATTTCTGGTCCATAGCTTGGTGGGAAGCCTACCTCACCTTATGCCACCTTGAAGTCTCATACATCCCCTTAACAGGCACCAGCACATAGGGCTGTGTTTCAGATTGCTGTCTCTGGCTAGTTTTCCTACCAACCATCAAAAGCAACCTAAATTTGATGTCTTCAGCCCAGTCTATCTGGCCTCACAACCCTACATGCATAAGGGTAAAGAAAAAATGTTATGTAAAACAGAAGACTAAGCTTAACAAGAGGCCACGTTTATGCTTAACTACAACCACAATTTCAAAGTGAGACAGGCTCAGCCCTGCCATCAAAGAGGTGTTCTCTTCCCTCTGGCTTTTCTTGCTCTTAGATAAATGTCCTCACTGCACTCTCTTTGCCAAGCTCTGGTGCTCAGCTGACCCCCTGCTGTGCCAAGTCAGTTTTTTAACCTAGCAGAGCCCTGCCAAAAACATTTTCTGCCAGGTTACCATGAACTCCACTTAACCACATCTTTCAAAGTCAGCATGTCTGTTCCATCATCCCAGCCAGATCATCCAACAGCTCCCAACTTTGCAAGAAGGAATCCCACAGCAGCCTTGGCTGCAGTTGCCTGGTTGCTCCTTTGATAGCAGTGCCAATTAAAGCAGTTCCACCCTTTGGTTCCCACCCTCGGCGGCCGCTTTGCAGAGCTGACACAACTCTTTGTGCAGCCACAGAGCACACAGGATCAAGGGATGGATTCAGTGGATGGCACAGATGTTCCCCACAGCCACGGCAGGCTGCTGGCAGGGGCACTGCACTGCAAGGAAGGAGCAGCTTGGAGTGAGAGCTGGCTTAATCTGGCACTGCTGAACGTGAAACCACAGCTCACAGTAGTTCCCTTATTTCAGACCCTAAAGATCTTCAGCCCAGCTGTTGGACCTGAAGATGGAGTGAATTCACTAAACCTTTCCTGTGAGCACTGCCTTCTCTCCTGAGGGCCAAGGAGGCCGCAAGGCCCCAAAAGGGGAACTCCAGACAACTCCTTTATGTCCTACAGTTCTGTGCCATAGGGTGACTTGTGGGTGAGGATATCTCCCCAGTCCTCTTCACATTCAAACATCCCTAGAAGACCACACTCTCATGGTTTATGCACCCTACAACCTCTGAACCAGATCAACTCCACACATCCTTGTTTCTCCTCCAAGCTCGTGCTGCTTTCTCTGTGCTGCCTGCCTCCCACCACAAACTCTTCAAAACAATGTCTCAACCTTTATTTTTGCTTCTTCTGACATGTTAATCAGGCACAGTGCTAAACACATGCAACTAGTAATGATGCTTAAGCACCCTGGGGGCTGTGAAACAATAATGGCTTTTGACAATTAGTCAAAGCAATGAACAAAATGCTGTGCTTATTTCTGAGAAGCACACAGGAGAGGCCAGGGCTTAGCCCTTGGGGAAGGTCCAGAGGGGAGAGATGGGTTTGCCCCACAGATGCTCTCTCTAGATTGCCTCCTTATCTCCCTTGCAGTGAGCTCCACTTATTCCTGCATTGACCAAACTTCTCAATTAAAGCTAACTCAGCAGAAGAATCAGAAGAAGCAGAGATACTTTTACAGGTTATGTCAACAACACAGCAGCAAAAAGTTTGAAGTGTTTATTGGCAGGAAACTGGAAATAACCATTTTATGTTGATTACACTTCTGACCTGAAGTTGTGTTATTCCTCATAACTGTCTATAATACTGCTCACATTCAGAAACACAGGTACAGGAGCTTTTGAAAGAAATCCTAACAATTAAAGGGCATATCAGAGATACAGGTCTGCAGCAGCCAGACCAAAAGGCAGAGCTGGCTGCTGCAAGAGATCTGGCCTTGGGCAGAAGTCCAAGCAAACATACAGCTTCTAGAAATGAGGACCCCATGGAAACCTCTGCAGTTTCTTATTCCAACTCAGTATCTTCTACTGCTCTCAGCTGCCAATAATGCATGGGGACCAAAACTCCTTTAAGCAACTGATTTCCAAACCATTTAATGCTTTACTGTTTGAAACTGAACACTTGAAAAACCTGCCCAGAGGCTTTAGCCTAAGTGCAATTCTACCACAAAAGTATCTCTGTATGTACATGAGTCATGGTTTAATGCAGGACAATGTGATACTTCATGATCCAAATATCTTTTGTGTCTAATTATTACACAAAGAAGTCATGCATACACTGAAAAATTACTTTGCCTTCCTTCTTTGATATAACACCAAGGACTGCACAGCTACTATTTCTACTTTACTGGCAAAAACACTGAGAAACTTCAAAATGGAGAGGGCCCTCCTCTTCCAAACTAAGAAAAGATTCATCCACAATAGAAGTTCATACCTGTCTCTCAATAAAGGCGTTCATCCTCTGGAGCATTCCCTCACATGTAAATTCATAGGGCAAATAAGGGTCGATCTGAGGAAACAAAATGTGTCAATTTTATGAGGTTTTTTGTTTCAATGAACTTCTCGGTGTGCTGTGTGGTAGCAGCTTGCATTCCAAATACTACATTACAGCTTCAGTAACAACAATAAATGCAAATAAACTCATTAACAAATGACAATTTCACAAAACCATCAGCAGTTTCAGCTGTTTCTTTCTCTTTTGTAAAGGCAATAGAAGTTGCTCGGTGAGTTATCTTTAAGGGAACTCAGGGTACACTGCAAAGTAATAGATACAAAGCTAGTCTGAGAGCCCCTGGGATTCTAGAGCTTCTTTTTAAACTAAGTTTCAGTTCTGAGGTGAAAAGGAAAACACGATGACAAAAAAGAACATGATGCCTTTGAAAATTACTTCAAACTGCTTCCACCCCATAAACCCTTGAAGTGCCCTCATTACAGTTTCATAATTCCAGTGCACAAGCATTTCGGTGGTGGTTATTTCAAGGCCACAAAATCAGTCAGAAGAGTTGAGCATGTATTTGGACAGCCACAATGCTCCAAGAGCCCACAAGGAAGCTTCCTCATTGACTGCACAGAAACACAGATTGCTTTATAATTTACCTAAGAAATACATATTTCTGCACAAAATCACTTACACTCTTTTTTTTTCAGGTAAAAACCTGACATATCCAGTACTAAACAATGATAATCAGGTACCACAGAGATGTGGTATTTTGTGGATTTTTTTTCCCCTGATACCCTACCAAAGTGCAGCACTCTGCTTTAATTATATGAACGTTAGAAAGCACTGTACATGCAGGACACAATACACTCCCAAGTGCTGATGACAAATTGAAGATACATTTCTCACCTTTTGATTCAAAATTGATTTCACAGCCTTCTCAACTTCAGAAAGATCATTGATGTCTACAGTCCAGACATGGGGCTTCCCAATGTAAACTTCAGCATAGGGATGCTGAGATGTCAACTGAAAAGGAAGAAATTATATTGGTAAAAATGGATGTCTCAGGATGTCTTTCCCTCTCACTCTCTTAATCAGGCTTTTTGGATGCACCAGGATAATGCAAGGGTTCAGCTAAAATTTAACAGTCAGCATCATTCCTTCTGAGTCATCTTTCAGATTTTCCATGTTTAAATTTAGAGAGTGAATATAGTTTGAAAACTGAAAAATCAGAAAATAATGCAGATCACAAGTAACATTTGTGCATCTCTCATTTGTGGCTTTGGTCTTCATAATGAGCCACATCCCATAAGACTTGCTGCTTACTGAAACTGATTTTACAATGTGACCTTACTTCCCCACAGCTCATTCACAGAGCAGCCAGTTTTCACAGCCTGTAATTGCTACCAGTCCTGGTTAGACCTGCCTGACTGGCTTCAAGAAGTATCATCCTTGCTCTGTCCTACCTTCAGACAACATCGTCACCCTGTTTCTCCTTCAAATTTCAAACATTTCCAAGCTTCTAGGAGTAGTGAATAAAGAATCAATTCTATCACTTAAATAAATTCTGACTCTCACTCCTGATAATACAAGAGTGATTTGACACAGAACTACACAAGGTTCTTTGTTCTACTTTAGCACTTGAAAAAACCAAGAGATGGATTTTAGGTCCTTCTTAATCCCAAAGAACCAACACATGGATTACTGGCAATAGGATCTCAACACAGTTGTGAAAACCAGATAAAGAAAAGGTCACTGTTAGGATAGGTCAGCAGGGCATGTGAACACAGCAATATTCTCCATTAACATTCATTATATTATTTTGTACTAAAACAGTCATCAAGGATTTATTTTTCTGTGCAAGTCAGGTGCACGGCATTTCTGTTAGTGCTGACACATGCCAGTGGGATTTAACACAGCATTCCAAGCACTAAAATTCCTACTGAAGAACTAGGTGGGTCCAGATTATTTACTGAGCCTGACCAGTTATAGTATCTGGGCACACAACAACTGGAAACAAGACAAACAATCAAGTGACTCACAGAGGAAAAGCTTTGGAAGGTGCCAAGCCCAAGGAGAAAGTTTAAACACACTTCTCCCCTCCCTTACTGCTCATTTTCTTTGTTAGCAATGTAAGTTATGAGAACGAATAACTCTGAACTCATGTCCTGTACCTACTGTATGTGTAACCAGCTGAGAGGCAATTATAGTTCTGGATCATAAAATCATAAGAAATTTATGTTCCTGGTTTAAAATGGGAAACTGTCTATTGCTTATCAACTACCTGGCATCACTCAGTATGCAATTTATACCGCCCAACATGACTAGAATTAGGAAATACGGCTGTGCAAAGCCCTCATCACCCAAGTGATCCCAAAAAGCCTTCCTTTCAGGGAATCATGTAGAGAAAGTAGAGATACACACCTCTGAAAAAGCCACGGTCACAGGCAACCCTGCTAATGTCACTAACAGCTACATGACTGCTAAATTCCTGAAATGGTACAGGCCAAATTTTACCTACACTGAAGAAGAACAACGTTCCAAAGACAGTGCCAGGATGAGGGGTTAGTTGACTTAGCTTCATTTTTCTCTCACTAGGGTCTAAACACACTGGATGTTTTGAAAGCTTGAGGTTTGGTTTTCCGATTCTCATAAAGAGCCAGTTCTCCAGAAGTCTTTCGTGTTTAACCACAAACACAGAGGGCTGTGACCATTAATACATTAGCTCAACAGTGCCTTGAGTGGAACTTTTCTGGAGAAAAACAACATAATAATCCCAAAGCACACACAGCAACCCACAAATGCCATTTTTGTAATGTATTTAAACACCTGTTTACTTCCTGCAGAGCACACAGTAATGTTCGTTTCTTCAAAAATATAAAACCATGTTGAAATGACACATCATGTATCAGATGACACAATCTGTTCCTGGGCAAAACATCAGGTTTTGAAGCGAAACTTCAGTTTAGGATCCATCAGTAAGAAGTACCAGAATTTACATATCCCATCAATGGCTAAAGATAACAACAGTTGCATACCTTTTGCAATAAACCTCAACATTTCTGCAATTTTTCTTTTACTGTGTTACTAAACAGAAATCCACAAACATGTTCAAAAAGAAATTACCTAGACTGGCAAAGCTTACCTCTCGGAGTGTAGGTTTGCCTTTGAAAAATTCTGTGTTTTTGCTACTTTTTGGTGGGTTAAATCTTAGATTTAGAAAAGCACATCCATTAGCAATAGCCTCTAAAGGAGCCGGCCCTTCATACGGAAATCCAAGACCAACAAACAGCTGAAAAGTAGAAAACAAGGATTATTTTAATTTAGTTTCTTCAGAAAAACTGAAAGAGCTAACTGAAAATAAGAATGATGCATTCTAAATGCACCAGCCTTAAAAAATGTAACATTAAGAAGAAAACAGGAGACATTCAGCAGCTCAGCCCCTCCTACCCAAGCAGTAACGGAATGCCCTGTAAAACACATTTGACAATAATGTTCTGTGATGAGCTGAGGTGAGTTTTCATGGAGCTAAGGCAACAACGGACCCTTTCAGTATTTTTTTTGGAAAAAAAAAGTCATCTAGTGGTTTGATTGGTGTTGAAATGAACTGATGGGGCTCTCCTGCAGGTACAGCTTTTACTGCAGCCACCTCACAGAACAGCGACACTACTGTCTTCCCCCCCTCTCTTTGACCTCAGCTAACCCGGTGGGTTTGCCAACATGAACATGCTCCTGGCAAACTGATTAATTCTTCTAATTAAAACGGTAGATGGCAGCAAACATCAGCTGATGACAATGAGCCCTAGGCAGCAAGAGCACAGGATTAAGAGGGTTCAAGCATCCAAGGTAAATCGAAGGAGGAAAAATGCATCACAAAGCTACTCTTACATCAGCTGGGATTACAGGTGCTCTGGAAAAGGGAATGCTTCTCTCCAATGTGAAGATTTTTAGTATATTTTCAGAGCTGCATGGCTTTTATTTGGATTTTGACCCCTTTTCCTGGCCTAACATAATTAAAAACGCTGAATTACATAAAGATTTCTAAATCTTTATTTTAATGTCTGTGTATAATGGGGGGATGACAAGCTCTGATTTGTAACAGCAATTCAGCAATTTCTCAGCACTGCTGAATGACTTAACATGTATATCTATATGTCTATATATAGAGACAGAGCTACTGCTCTTTTCAAGGAAATAAAGGGCAATCTTTGTAACAACAGACTCCAGTATTCAGGATGTGTATATTAAAAGAGGTCAAATTATACCACTCTACATTGAATTTTCTGCAACACTGAAAGGAACCCTAGTACCTGAAGATTCCAAACTGATGGCCCTTTCTAGGAAATGATCTTGACAACGATGCATAAACCTGTAATCGGTATCCTCATGCACAGGCATTGCAGCCTCAATCCTCTGCTACCCGTGGCAACAACAGTATAAATTTGGAGTTGGCTCGTTTTAAAAAGAAAGTTAACACTTCTCAGCATAGCTGAGGACATACAATTTTCCCTGCATGGAGCTGAATCTTGTTATGTCAATTTTCAGGTCAAAAAAGCTTCTACTTGCAAAAGGTTTCTCAGCTATCTCACAGATTTAAATCTTACAGGAAACTCTCCAGTGGCTGATAAAAAAAAATAAAAATCTCAAAACCTATCTTCACTAAAGCTAGATGGTCTAAATTTTTTTTTTATATATGGCATAAGATACATTACCTTTCAGTCAGAAAAATACATACTAAATTTCATCTCAAAAGAGGCTTAATTTCAAGAAAGGAAATAGCTTGAAAATAATGAATTGCACACATGAAACCATTTCATGCAATCTGCACAGATAATGTTATTTATTTAAAGTACTCCTTAGTTCAGGCAGAAAACCAGCTGAGAAGCAGCAATTAAAACCATCTCAAGAATCAATTCTCCTATGATTCTGTGTTTGTCTGTTATGTAGAGAATGCTGGTTTTTTGCTTGGTTTCTCACTTCTTTAACAAACTGCTGCTGTGCCCTGATGAACAGCTCTGTGTCTGACTGGTCTGCTTATTTAGGAGGAAGCTCTGAGGGGAAAGAAACAGGGATTTATGTTTTGACAGCACAGAGCACACTGTCAACACCTAATCTATAATAAATAGCTCACCACCTGTTTTGCATCCATTTTCCAACCCTACCTCTACACAGCACCACAGCTTTGAAGAAAGAAAGGAGGATGTGTCTGCTGGCTGGGAGGATGCTGGTGTGGGTGCTGCCTTCTGGCCTGAGGTTTCCGTTGAAATTCCCAAAGTGAATCTAGACCCTCCTCCTGAAAATTGCCCTTTTCTGACATTCCTTGGTTAGGGAGCTAGTATTTTTGTGTGGTATAGAGCAAAACTGAGGAATATGTTAATGGCCTCAAGAAAATCATGTCCATCAGGATTCAAAAAGCAAGCACTGGGGAACACAAGTAATTTCTTTAACTCATTCTCACGATGATCCTTTATACTTTACTTGCTGATTATCTTCTTCTCTCCCCTTTCTAACATTACTGCACTTTATCTCATTTATTCTGTTGGGCTGGTAGGTTTATCACCCCTTTTGTATGTCTTCTTACTGAATTTAAATATTCTCTTCTGAACTGCAGAAGTGTGGCACAGACCATTGTTAACTATCTTGATACATTTTTCTCATGAATATAAAAGAATTTTTGGAAAAGTCAAGCCTTCTGTGATTGAAACTACTTGAAAATAGAATCACTAGTTATATGTCTTTTCAGTTGAATTTGAGAAGCGTGTAGCATTAAAAAAAAAACAACTTCATAAAAGAGAGTATGAAAAAAATTGTACTTGTTTCTGCTTATCCAACATTGCAATGGGATTTTGCCCAAACTGTCCAAACACGGTGTTGCTCCTACTTTTATCCATTACTATACAGAAGCTGTAAATTCTACTTAGCAAAATAATTTATATTTCCTCTAACATTCACAATGGTTCAAAGCAAAAAGTTGCATCTGAAATTTTCTAGAAAGGAGGAATACTTCAAGAATTCTGAACTGGTTCTTCCAAGAGAGTCTGGTCCAACTCCTCCAGCTGCCCACCTGGCAAGAAGCCATTTAAGTTGGCAGGAAGGCTGCCAGCTCGCCTACCCTATTTTCCTCTGACGTGATGAATGGCTTTACATCTTCCCATTAGGAACTGTTGACATTTTTCATTTTTGTCATGCACTACACAGCTGAACTAGCCATGATGAATCTCAAACAGTCCCCTCCTGCTTAGAAAAATGTGCTTATGCTGAAATGCATTGCTTTATAACACACACCAGAATGAAAATGCAGCTGCATGCTTTTGAGAGTAACTGGGCCCTATACCAGTTAGTGCAGAGAGAGCACATATACATTTTGGGAATGCAAAGCTCCTATCAGGAATCATGACTGAGTTGTCACCTATTGGTATTTTGTTGTTGAGGGGCAAAATGAAGCAGTGCAACACAAGCTGACACTTCTGAGTATGCTGAGCCAAATCACTGAACTGTGACTTGTTAAATTATTGTTTAGCTCTGGCTCTGAAAACTAGTTAATTCATCAGCTGACCTAACAAAAACTTGCTAACATGATGTTGAAATCACAAACAATGGAAGACAGGTTTAAAAGAAGAAAAATCTGAAAGTTTCAGGAAGCTTAGAGACAAAGTTTGTTGCCTGGAGACAACAAACAGCCAGCCTAGATGGTTTGGGTGAGCATTGTACCCACAGATGTTACCCTCCCATCCCATGGGAGTTACAGCTCCCATCATCCACACACTTCCAGCACACTGATTGCCTAGTGACAAAACCCCATAACTAAATTCATTAGGGGGCCCTGGTCATGTTGCCTAGCAATTAAAGTGATTATGATTAGAAAGTATCCTTTAACATCACTGGATGCATGTACACACGTACATGAGGCTTCTCAGGGCACAAAGCTCCCATTCAATTCAGCTCGATTCTTGTGAAAAAGCTGCACCTCTTTTAGCAATTCAATCCATGATCCATTTGATATAAAACACATTTGACCCACCCATGCAGCAGATGGCCAGCAGAGACGGGTGAGTGGTGTTCAGTGCTAAGCTATATTGAAATATTGCCTCCTAAAAGACAGCAAAATCTGAAACCATGTACAGGCAACAAGAAGACTTAGTGCAAGTATGGCTGTTGATCAAGATGAGAGGCAGCCACATCCTTAGGCAGAACAGCTAGTGCACCTATGAGACACTAAACATCAGCTAGCAAAACAAAACCCAACCCAAAAATCCACCTTCAACTGAGAAAGTCCAAACAACGTAGTTAATCTGTTTCTGCTTTCAATCTCAGGATGCTGCTGTTTTACTTCTGCTGATAAAACCAGACATACTGGAACAAGTAAGCATTAGACAGCAATAACAACTGAAACGCATAATGCAGTAAGCTGTACTTCATTTCATTGTGTCCCAACATCAGAAATACATAGCGCTCTCATTTGCCTGACAATAAAAAGTATTAGGAGAAGCAAATGGACTCTTAAACTGCTTATCATCATGTCAAATGTTTGTTAGCCTTGCTGCATCATAAATAAATAATTCCCTTAAAAGGAAAATAGCTTTTGTCATTTGCTAGCAAGAGTTCAGAAAAGTAAGAAAATATTGTTTGCATGCTTTAACAAAATCATTAAGACAGACTGTATCAAAAAGATAATGTGATAAGAACACTGGCTTCCTGATACAGGGTTCTGAAACACATGGATGTATTTGTCAGTGCCATCTACTAAGAAATGCAGCAATTTGTCAAAGCATTTTTCTCAATGTTAGGAAGAAAAAAACAACCACCCAAACCAATGCATAACAATACTAGAGACAATCATCAAAATCTAAAATGCTTGTAGGACTCTAAAAACAGCAAAGTGTAAACTGATGCTTTTCACAGAAATACTATTTGTGAAAAATAAGCAACTTGCTCATCTCAGGAGTACTTCACAATCACAAGATAGTATCTTCCATCTGATATTGCAATTACTAGTAAAAAACTGGGTGAAACTAGTCTGGCTGCTTCCTGTACACAAAACCCATGTCACTGCACTGTGCTGAGCTGCATAATATGCACGTATCAGCTTGAGTTTGTCCTAAATTAAACGTGTCCTTACCTTGTGTGTTAGAGCACAGCAAATAAAAACAGTAACGACTAGGTGAGTTATCTACTTAATATGGAAAATTAAGCTTTTTTGCATAATACATGTAAAATAGCTGATAAAGGGTTTGATGAAAACTTACTTTGTAAATTATAAGGACTTCAGCAATTCTAGAGGAAGTCCATTAGTTTATTTTACTATTCCAGTGAATAGAACACTTTTTTTTTTTTTAAGAAAGAAGTCACTTTGTTTGCGCTTGGGGTTATTACAATGTCAATATTCTTCCCACGTTAGTACTATGATTAATACAGTCACTTCATACTCCACACAGGCAAAATCTGTGTAATCTCAGTATTATCTATGACAGAAATATATATTGACTTTTTAATCTGCAACATTATGTGTATCTGTATACATCAAGTACATACACACAGTGGCTGCCTTTAAAAAGTCATAATTTGCCAAAAGCTGTCACACAGAGATGTCAAATTACCATAATTTTCCCAAATATTTCAAAAAGGAGATCTCTGCAGTCATGTGGGAAGACTGTGAGCTGCCTGCTTTTTTATTTTCTTTTAATAGATTCTGTAGAATTTCACAGCAAGAAACTATCAACAATGGGGAATAAGTGCTGCAGTTCCACATATTTTGATAATTTTTAACACACAAACCACTTCTTTCACCAACTGCAAGTTAAACTTCCTATTTAAATGTAATCTACTAAAGTGTTTTAATGTTGTTAAGCAGCACAAAGATTACTGGAATTGCACAGAACACCCCACAAAGAATTCTAACTATGGGGACAAAAGTTTATTTATTACAATGTATACACTGTCCCTTATCTTGAGTTCCCTTGACTGTGGGGCTACAACAAAGCACACCACAAAAAGCACACTCTTTTTATCCATCTCTCTGCACAACTGAAGCAGAGGAAGGAGCTGAATGGCAAATTCACTGCTTTCCTTTCTTCTTTTCTCCCCCAGAGAGTAGGGTCACTCTAGGTTAAAGTCACTGGTAGGGCAGAGCATGCCTATTGCACAGCCTTCAGATATTACCTAACTTTCCTATCAGGGATGTAAAACAAAGCACATCCTCAGCTGATAATCTCCTTGAGCTGAGTATCACATGCAAGAAAATGAAAAATGCTTTTATCCATGTTCCTCAAGCTGGTTGTTAAATGTGACAGTGACTGTAGGTCGCTGTCCCAATTTGCTAATAATAGCTGTCAATCCATAAAACACAGACATGAAGAAAAACACATACTCAGCACACAGGAGGCAACTTAAGCTCCTTTACATCTAGCCATTCATTTTCCCTATGCTTTTAAATTAAGAGTTCATTCCTAGGAGGTGAAAGGCATGCACTCCAGATACTGTGTATCTGTAGCTATTTTTGCCACTACTTCCTCGTGACAACTTACCTTGGTTTCTCTCAGCAGAAACTGCAAATCCCGCCCACTGAGTATACCATGATTTTTTACGTAGCCAGGAATATACAAAGTGCTTGAGCCATGGACTGTTCCATGGACTTCCATGTAGGTGTGGATGATGTCCAGATATGCCTTCTTATCCTATAACAGCAACAAGAAAGTATTTTCAATCTTTATGTCTTTCAAGCAGAGCAGTTTTTTATGTCCTTTACCACAAAAGTCAGAAAGAGATGTTCACTCCTGCTTACATTATTTCTACAGTATTTGATGTTTCCTTACATTATTAGTTTTGTTTTCTACTAGACTGGAAGAAAACTGTCACTTTTTAAAATTCATAATATAGGCATAAATAAATCAACACCAGGACCTATTAATTTTTAATTGGACTAAAAACAACAGATAACTGTAATCTCAGCATACCTAAACAATATTTGGCCTAATAATGCTAAAAAATTCATTCTGAAATCTCAGTTTTTCAATCTGGTTTTGAAAGAGATGCAAAATAATTACTGTTTATTATCTTTGTTAAGAAAAGAGTGAATCTCACCTTAGCTGCATTCTTGCCAACTGAGTAACTGAATACACTTTTTATCTAAATACCTATTATCTGAGTCCTAGAAGATATTCCAAATATTCAATTTACCTAAAGTTCTAAAGGTATCTTGGAAAAGACCCAGAGAAGAGAAATGTCTCTAGTGTTTCACTAAAAACAAAAATAGTACACAACACTCCAGTTTGCAAACCAGAATTACTTTAGTTTTCAGTGCCATATGTTTTTTGAGTTTTAAAGACTACTACTATTCCAAAAGCAATTAGCTGTAGACTGTATTTACAATCAGTATGCAGCACAGATCAGAGAGACTTTCTCTCATTATTTGCACATAGTCTTAGTAATAGCTGAAAAATCAGGCAACAAGTTTGTGTACTTCTTGGCATCAAGAGAGTTTTTAAGAAGTCTATTTTCACCCACTATTTTTGTCATGTAAATTCTATACACTGTTCCTCCACAGCCCTGTGTGAAAGCTGGCCAACAATTTTGCTGAAGTTCACTCAAAGGGCATGAAGACTTGTGAAAATCCTGTCTTTTCAAATCTCAGAGGAGCAATAAAGTATCAGATGTAGGTGAATGAACACCATCACTTCTTTAAAGTTCCTTGCTAATTTAATTGTTGGTACATATTCAAATACACAGGTTATTTGATGTCACAAAACAAGGAGTTCTAGCTTTAGCTTGCTCTATTGGTGATACTTTTTGTGAAGTATATTGCCTGCCTCATTATTAAGTTGTCCAACCAAAAACTGGGCAAGCCCAATCCACAAAACAATCATTCCTTTATTCCCTTTGAGTCAAAACCAACTGCTTTCATCATCATCTGTGAAGTACCATAAAAATACCACTAGCACCTTATACCTTAAACAAATCTCACTAACATTTGCCTCCTTTGCATTTAAGTAGTCCTGGATTTCCATATTTCTTGTAGAAAAGTGTTATTTTGGATCATAAAAGTATATTATTGTAATAAGCCACTTCATAAAAATAAACAGGACACACATTGAATTAGAAAATGAGAGAGCATAAATGTGGCATTTATAAATAGAAAGGCTACAACTAAATAAACCAAGAAATGCAATTTGGAAAAAAAATATCAACATTGTTCAAGTGTTAACCCACTTCCTGAGTCTGTTTGCATGGGTGCAGATATAAATATTCTTTTATCCTGAATAGCTGAACAGTAAACTCCAGATTTTTACTTTCTCCAAAATGAATTACAGATCCTGAGCTGCTGGCTAGCAATGCAAAATCACCATTCTCTGCAGAGTTTGTATCTAACTGCTGCTACTCATCCATGTCTGCTCACCATGCTGCAAATCTAAACTTAAAAAAAAAAGCAACTATTCTCAGAATGAAAATGGAAGAGCAATGGTGAGTAACAAGTCACACAAACCTTTTCTGAACCAATTTTTCAGCAGCCAAAGTAAACATGCCATTCTAGAAAGTACTTTTGTTGATCATTAAATGCAGAACTGTTATTACTGTTCATCAATCATTACCACCTACTTTTAAAAGCATCATGATAAGGCTTTTCTCATCAAAGACATCAAATGACAACTGTCTGATAAGTCTTTCCTTAAGACAATGTTGACAGGAAGACAGAGTCTGAAGGGCTGAAATCTTAAAGTTTGGTGGGTGAAAAATTAAGTGTAAAAGCTATAAAAATACATGGTAGAAACACAATGCGTTAAGAACTAAACTTTGCTTTTAGTTTTCTTCATGTGGCAGATGTTTTCTTACACTGAAGAAGTCAGAACATGACAATTTTTTACAGCTTGGACGAATGTAATGCAGAAAAACAGGTACTGGGAGAGATCTTTGTGTATGTAAATGCAAACATTAAGTCTAGAAGTCCTAACATCTGGGTGCTTCAAGTCCAAGGAACAGAGAAATGAAAATGATTGGACAGTTCTATAAACACACAGTCCTTCCTTGAATACTGTTGCTGTTCTGGTCCCTCCAGTCCAAAAGCTGAGAACACTGGACGTGGTTCTGAGAGGGATAAGAAGGATCCAAGCTACAGAATGGTTTCCATTGCTACACACGAACCTGTAACGCATTCATTTATGATTCCTGAGCTTGGAAAATGCAGCTTGACAGAATATGAGAGAGGTTTACAAAAATATAGTGGGCATAAAGAACACAGACTGAAAAAGAAAGCCAAACAAAGTTAGTAGGAGATGGGCGTAAAGACCCCCAAAGTTAATGCTCCTCCTGCAACGGGTCAGAGATTTGAGGAACTCCACAACAAAGCTGTGGAGACAAAACAAAAAAAAAAAAAGCATAGCTTCTTGATCAGACAAGTCCTTTAAAGTCACCTCTTAATTGACCTCTCAAAACAGGGTCAACAGTCAGTTTATCAATAGACAAACTGATTCAGAAAATACCCAGGGCTGGAAAAAGCTGGAAAAGAGAGAATATGCAAGGGAAGTATTATGTGACTTTGCCACACATTTGCTCTTCCCTGAATGTGTATTTAGGGCTCCTTTGTTAGGCACCTACCACATATATCAGCATAAAATAAACACATGTATGCATAAATGTTATTTATCTGCACATATACTATCTTTGCACGAAGAATGAATAAAAGATCTCAGGGAAGACTCGCATTCTTTTAGATCTGCCAGAAATCCTTCTTCAGTTCCCTGACCTCATCTTTATCTGTTTCATTCATCATTTCTTGCAGTTCTTCATCCATGAAGTTTCCTTTTTTTGGTTTTTTTTTTTCAACATTGAGGTTTCTGAAAGATTTGACAATTTCATTGTCATGTAATGGGCACTGAAGCCTAACCTGGAATTTCCTGTCCTTTGAATGGAAATTTCCAGAACTAAAATTGACACATACTTGTGCACTGTAACTGCTGAAGCAGAAGAGTGCAGGGGTACAGAAGAAAGTAGGCAGTGAGAAGATGGGAAAAAAAAGTTGGTGTTGGTTTTGTGATTATCAAATACTAGTGGATGATTACTTTCATCATTAAGATCTCACTAATTCATTTTGCAGTTGCAGAGTTCTGCAAAAAAGAGATGGTGATCACTGGCCTGTCTGAAACATAAATATTAATTGAAAACATTTTTTATTTCTTTCCCCATAGTAAATTAAACTCTAATTTTCATAGTAAATCTTAAAGTATAAGCCTTCAAAAGTGTACATATATATATACTTCTTTACTGCACTTCTAGCTGTTAATTTCCTTTTATTTACTTGGTCTTTTTGATCCATCCTTCTTTCAGATGCAAATGGTGAATTTCTGAAATGTTGCTGAACTACAGTTTCTGGCTCATATCTATATGATATGTGGCATAAAGCAGGACAGTACTCCTGGTGCCTGGTGCCAGCAACTAGGGTTTCCATCAATAGGCAAGCCCAGGGTGCTGTTGCAAATTTGGAGCAAGACAAAAGAGCACAAGACAAGTTTGTGAGTGCACTGACCACGTCAGAGAGAAAAGGTGAGAAGGATCTTTTCTCCCCTCCCTTATGTTTCTTTTAGCTTAAAAAATAAAGTAAATGTTCAGCCAAAGCCTGTTGCTAAATATGAAGCACAAAAACCAATCAGAAGGAGGGGAAAGGCAAGGCTGCCAAGAGCGAGACACTGATCTCTACTTGTAACAGAAATATTCCTAGAAGTATAATTTTTCTCTCTGACTTTTCCCCACTTTCTTACTCCCACATACTGTAACAGGGCACAAGACTGGGAAACTACATATGTCAGATGGAGCTTTGAAGAAGTGGGTAGGAACTGGTTTGGTTATGTATGTTCCCATTGAGAACAAGCTAAATGTAACACTTTCCCATCTTGACAAGTGGCATTAGTAAAAACTCACACATTATGTGGCCTTTAAATACATGAGTATTTTAAGGCAACTCCAACACACTATAATAAAATCTACCAAAGCAATCATCATACAATTTTCTGTTATGCATTGATGGCTACTTTCTGATACAAGCAAGATTCTGGCTTCTCTTGCAGCACCCCACAAAAAAAGAATTAACAAATAGCATAAAATGAATCTTGACTCTCTTTTCTTTCTAGGATTAAGGGTAGAAGTGTTGGAAAAGTATGAGAGGAAATTGTAGGAAAAACAAAGATTTAGACCGAAGTGGGAGCTAAGACAACATGAAAGGCTTTGAACATTCCATTTAATTGAAATATTTTGTAATTACAGCCAATTTTGATAATGGAAAGCATTATGGGTTGCACTCACATTTTATTCATTCCTTATTTTTCACTTGGCAGAGATAGGACTCTCTTTACTCCTTACTACTGTCAAAATCCCAAACAAAACCTCAAACCTTTGATTACAATAAACACATCCAAAACTTGACAATGTTGCCCTTGGCAGCTTACCTCTAAGGATAACCTTTAGGAACCTAGCAAAATTCTTTAGAGCTTCTATTTGTCATCCTTAACCCACTTAAGACTGATTTAGTTATCAGAGGGAAATAAACAAGTCTCTGCAGCTTACATCCCTCCTGACCTCCAGCAAAATGCAACTGTAACACAGGATGAATGCCATTGGTCTCAGGCCATGGGCTGGTGGTTTTTTTTCTGTATCCAGCAGAGTTGACAGGAGGCATCACTGTATTCCTCCTTCTACGACTTGTCAGATTTGTATCAGAGCTTTGTACCACTGAATTATGTGGGAAGACAGAATGCTGTCTGTAAGCAATTCATAATTCTCTTTAGCTGCAATAACCTGGTTAGTATACCCAATTTAAGTGGGTCATCTGAACTAGCCTCACCAACTCTGCCCAGCAGCAGAGCTGGGAAAACGGTGATTTCTAGCAAAGATTAAATGACAAGTACTTTGGAATATTTTTTTCTTTTTAACTTGCCTCATGAGATGCAGAAAAGGATGCCCACAACTTCATAAAATCCCAAGGGCAGTCAGATACTATAGTTGCACCTACAGAGGAAAAACTTCCTGTGTGTACCTCAGTTTCACTTCAACCTGCTTGGTTTAAATTCAACAATTTATTTGCAACTGATATCCCCCAAAAGCACCTTAGTCTGTGGACCAGAGCACTCTCCCCTTCATTTTGTGCATCTCTAACAACTGATTAGACCCATTAGTGACATGTATTCTGTGGAGATTACACTTTCTGTTAACTGGCCATATTCAATATAAAGAAAAGTAGCAGGATAAACAGAGATTAGGCAGGTTCAGCACAAGCCCTGGTGGCAGATGAAAAGAGCAGAACACGGAGAAAATGAAGGAAACATGAAATAAGCAAATTACACAGTCACAAGATTAGTTCAGGCTTTCTGCTGATCACAAGGATTGGATTTTATCACTCCAGATAAGACAGCCACATGATCACCAATTCAAAACCTATCTGCAGTGATTACACTTTATGAACCAGTGTATTTGGGCACAACTGCAGTTACAGGCTGCAAGTGACAGTTTTAACGTGCTCAATGTTACGAAGTACAGTAAGCATTTTAATATGGCCAAGTATTATGTCATACATCTTGCAAGAAACAAGACAGGCAATACTTAGAGAAATGAAACAGGGACTTGAAAAGCAGCAGTCCTAACCAATCAATACAAGGGTCTTGGCTGAAAAGTTATCTAAACACAAGTTCCCAATGGTGAAAAGGGAACATACATAACAGTGCATACAAAAATTCTTTTTGATTTGGTGCTGGTACAGCCCATGTGCCCTATTCTAACATTCCTATTTCAAGAGGAATGTGAATAATCTTGAAAAGGTTGAGAGAAAACAGACATGTGAGAACACTTAAGGATTAGAAGGCACAAAGCTCTTAGTCGTTCAGCACGTACAGGCTTTTCAGGAGATGAGTACAGGTTAACTATGAGCTCAACCTATACATTCCTACAGGGAAACAGAACAGAAACACCACCAGTCCAGTAGACAAAGTCTGTTACTGCTACTAAGACTGGAAGCTACCATTTGGAAATCTGTACCAGAACTAATGCAAAGTCTTCAGAGAAAAGGCAATTTCTCAAGGATTTACCATAGGAAGTAGTCAGGTTTCCACTGTGTGCTATTTAAAAATCAAGATTGGATGTTCTTTTCCAAAAAGCCATGTTTTTTGTCTTAATCAGCCCATGAATATCCTATCTGTTATACAGAACTATGTGTCAGACTAGGCAATCGCAAATCTCCCCTCTGGGCATATAAGCTATTAATACATATCTCCCCTCTGGACATATGAGTTATTAATACATATTTCTGAAATAATGCAGACTGAATAAACCAAAAGATATATATGTCAGTGAGGAAAACCTCCTGGTGACTAGGCAACTATCTTGTTCCTTAAATCCAACTGGTAGTCAACAGGTTTTCTGCTGATATGCACTACAAATCAGGTCAGGAACTATAGATGATTATTATGTGCAACTGTTCCTGAGAGACTGATAATGGTATCAGGAATGAAAGGGTCCCAGCTCTGCTCCAGCATTCTGCAGACAGAAGTGACTGCAGATGTGGGCATACTGCCATTCTATACCATGAGCCAAACAGAATAACTGGTACAGTATTTACTACAATGCAAAGCAAAATTTCCTTTTAAGACACAGATTACATAGTTTAGTGCAATAAGCTCAAATATAAAACTGAGAGATCACAACTGAAAATGCACAGATAATACATATATTTTTCTCAGTATAGAAGCCAACAAGCATTAAGCTCTACCTTTCTTTTGCCATAAACACCAGCAACATTCTCCTATTCCTTTCAAGTTTTTGTTTTTTTTCTGTCTCTCAGATACTTGTACCTGTCATTTTTCAAGAACTTACTCTATATAACCACAGTTATCAGACTAAATGTTGCTTCTGTGCTCAGAAAACTGTGCAAGACCAATATGCTTACGCCAATGAATATGGAAAGAAAACCTGAGACACATCATTTGGTCCTATATGTGGCACAGCATGTACTGATCAAGTCCTTTTTCAGCTGACAGGAGGCTGAAAAAAGGTCTTTTTAGGCAGGAGGGAAGGCATACAGAGTATATGGACACATAGAGCTAGAGGTAACTTGGAGGAAAGCCACTTATTAGGAAGCAATTGCTTTTCTTTGAAAACTGCATCCGAGAGACACTGCCAGGTGTGTCAGCTTAGAAGGAGCTCCAGAAAAGGACAGTGAACAAAAAGCAGAGAGCACCGTGAGGTTAATATCACAATACACTTTAACTTGGTGAAAACATGACCAAACCTTGGTGCTGTTATCCTGCAGCTCTTGCCTACAGATGAGAGGCAATGCAGTAATTGCAATAAATTTAAGTAACAAAACTCTGATGTTATTACAGGGAAATAAAATTATATTGAACACGGTCTGGGGTCATTAGTGAACAAGGTCCAGTTTGAAATGCATAGCTGTTTGTTTTAGATAAGAAAATAAGTAACTGAAAGACACATTTGCTTATGACTGATTGAAGTTCACAAAGTCTATGGCACCTTCAATTTCCCATTACTTTTAAAAGCTTCTGCATTTTCCAAAATTATTGTGGTATCAAGACTATAAAAACTTTTTATTCTACCAGGAAGGTGTGCATAAACAGCAAAGGATCCATGTAAATTTAGATGGAAGTTTCATAATCAGAAAGAGTGAAAAATGCTCAATTTAATTATTTAAATGTATTTCTTATCAGAAAAAGAACTTAATAGATTGAGAGAGAGGTGATACTTGTAAATTTAGAGTTATACTATATTATATTGGTAAAAATAAATTTACTCAAGTATATGACTCTAGTATACTCACCTTCCAGAAATGATCTACTTTGCCATAAACAAGAGATTGATTCTGCCTTTTGATGTCATTAATATGTTTAATGTCACTGGAATTCAGATGCTGCTCTACCACAAATCCAAGGAAGCTGTTATCTGGAGTGTGAGCTGTAAGAAACAGAGCATATTCAAAACCTTTTAGAGTACCACTTTATATTACAAAAGTATGCATGTTGTCAGAAAAGCAGGTATAAGGAACTTATTATTCAACAGATCACTTCCTTCACGTTCATACTGAGATACACCTGCTTGCTTTATTATCAAGAATAGTTCTTATCAATTTTAGGTCCTGCTGCATATGTCTACTGAAGTAAGCAGTTATTTTCTATCTTGTTTCTAACAATAAAAGTGCTGTAGCTGGACTGGGGCCAATGATAATGATTTCCTGGGCACTGAGCTTTAATTTATTATTAGAGTTAGGAGAACCAGAAGAAATCCAGCATGGCAATCTTAGAGACGCAATACCAACAATTTGGAAAAACCTTGCAGTCATGCTTGTTAACAAAGCTGTATGTTGCTCAATGTTAATAATAAGTTTTAGTAAATCTCTTGGGTTTCACCTCCTGTATTGGAAGAGGTAACACAAACCATCCAACTCACTGCACATTACATGCACCCATGCTAATTAGCCTACAAAGTCACACTATGTTGATCAGAATACCAATTTCACTCTCTACTTCTCTCAGATACATGTATCATAAAACACTGAAAGATGACAACTGAAGTTAGCAAAATTGTTATATTAATCCAATGCCCCGACAAATACAGTGCATACAAAGGATTTACAATTTACTCTTAGTTTAGTCTCTTTTGGTCTTTTCCCAGCAGCAACATCCAGCAATACTAGCCACTGTTCTTCTATAAAGAAACAGATCTACAGGCTCATTAAAACTAAGGTTTTTTGTTGTGGTGGTGTTTGTTTGTTCCCCTCCCTCTTTTTTTTCCCCTCTCTTGTATGTAGACAGAGTGTTCAATTCCAGGGATGTACTCTGATGTTCAAGGCTTCTGGTAAAAATTCATTCCTGTTATATAAAAATTACTCCAACACGAAGGGTTTTTGTGCCTCGCTAGAAAGTGTCATAACCTCAAAAATTCACACAGAAATAGGCTACAATAAACACTAGGATCTCCTCTCTAAGCCTCCCTTCTAAACACTGGAACACAAGCTGGCAACTACTTAATGAGCAAACTTTGCAAATTTAAAAAAACCCGAAAACAACAGAAAAAAACAAACCCCAGGACAAGCCCTCAGGCACTTATGATACATGCAATGCTCAGAGTTCTAAAACAAAATTAAAGAAATTCTATTGCAATTATGAGGTTTTGCTTTTTGATTTCTGAAAACCAGCCAGTTGGATAATGCAGTAGAACAGAGAAACCATACAAAGTGGACACTTCTCTCTGTCATTCCATTTAGTCTTTCAAATGACAATTACTCTTTTTCACAAAAAAATGCCTCAGCAACAGCTAGGCACTCACTTAGACCCAAGGACTTTTTAGAATTTAGCAAAGCAAATGGCATGTTGCAAATATGCCTGAAAAGGGGCATTTTTCCATCCTTTCATATTTTTGGATGAGAGATTGCATTCAAAGGAGACAGCACATACTCAAAAGATAAATAAACCTTTGTTAAAGTTAGCATTTAGAATTGGTGGAATTCAGTGCCTCAACATCACTGACAGGAAGCACTCAGATGGATTTTAAAGCAAGATCATGCAGTTCTAAAAGTACCAGTGCTGTTATTTTGCATAAAAGAATTAAAATGAAAAACATGAAGGGGGGGGGAAAAAACCCTTATGCTTCTGGAAAGCTCAAAGAATAGTCAAGCATTTGGTAACATGCCACAGGTTTGAATATGGCTTGCTGGTTGCTCAGTAATGATTTTCTGCCCTTATAATCAGAGTTCTCAAAACATAATGGACCCTGGGGATCTTGGGAAGATGTCCAGGGTTCCAATCTGTCATAAAATCTTTACTGATGCATAACACACACTTTTAATCACAAGCCCACAAAGACGGTGCTATCCCTGCAGCAGAGAACCAAAACCAAACTAAATATTGCAGAACAATGACTCTTCTGGACCTAGTACTAAAAGAAGCAAAATCCTTGAATAGGATCTTGCAGTCAGTCATGCTTCAGAATGAGTTTGCTTGCAATCTCTTTACCACTCTTCCTGCAAAGGAAAACCAGCAGTCACCTGCAGTAGTAAAAACTGAAAATGTTTATTTATTGAAATTCCAATATACTAATAATATTTCTGAAAATTCATTACGAAGTGAGACTGGACCAGTAGTTCATACTGCCACAAGAGAGATGTTCTCTACAGAGAAGATTCAATTTCTTCTGCATTTGATGGAGTGGGATTGGGGAGTGCACACACACAGCTGTACCACAAGTATCCACACAACTATTTTCCTCAAATGCCTCATCGCCCCTGATGTTGTCTTGAGCTATCTTGGACCTCACACACAAATTTCCCAACAGTTGAATTACTTAAATACAGCGAGATGGAGCTTTCGGCTCCTTTTCCATTTAGGACATAAACCAATAAATATAAGCAAATCATGTGGATACAGAACAAGCTCTGCTTACTAATCTCCAGACACGAACTCTGCAACCACTTCCAAGTCACATTTCCCAACCACGCATTTTGTTAACTTTCTTTGAAACAACTGTGAATGCAGGCTTTCATCTTTTGAACAACCTTCACTTCTATTTCTCTGGAAAAACCTTGCACAGCAAATGTTGACAGACAAAATATGCCTCTCTCAAGAATTTCACAAAGCAGCTGAAACCAAAAGTATGTCAGACAGCAGCATGTATAATTCTGCTATGAAAAGTAGAAAAGTTTGAAAGACATGACTATGAAGGCTGCTGAGAGAGAAGAGTGCATGCCCTGACCTTAGTCTCAGATAGGGACCACCACCAAACTAGGCAAGTGTTTCCACACGTGGGCTGAGAAGTTGCTGCACACAACAGTATGCACTTCCCTCTCTCCCAAGTCTCACTTACCCTCAATCTGGCTGCTAGTAGTGAGCCCTTCTGCACCTTTCCGAGACAACAAACTTGAACCACTACTACAAAATGCAGAAGAGGAAGATCCTTTGATTCTAGAACCTAGTGCCATAAGCCAAAGATGAGTGCTGGAGCAGGTCATTGTAACAATTGGATCAGACCCAGTTTATATAGTTTGTATTTTTTATATTGTTTCTTTTTAATGTTACTTTTATTTTTAAAGATATTTGACAATGCTTCAAAGATCTACAACAATGCTGAAATGTACTACTTGTCTTTCAATAGCTTTTTTAAACTGCTGGCAAAAAAATATGGTTTCACCTCAGGATGAATACTCACAAAATGAACACAAGTGAAAATTTTGAGAAATCCACAAAAAACAGAGACAAAAAAATTATTCTTGCTGAGTTTTTTCGATCTTGAATGCAAAAACAGTGAAGGAATTGTGCTGCTCAATTGTTGAGGAGAAATACAACAGAGCCAAATACTTCAGTTTAACATGATGAAATGCAAGAGTGCATGCAGTCCATAAAAATGCAATCTAGCAAGTTCCTCAAAAACCTATCACTCCATAGTTTTGCCTTCTCAAATCCTGCTAACAAACTCACTGACATTTGAAGGAAAAGCCTATCACTACTTTCCACAGTTACCCTGAGAATACAGTTCCCTACCACAATTTATATTAAGTTGATATTTTTATTTTCTCCTCCCTGGATGGAAGGACATTGGAGCTTTTGTGTAGCCTACAGACACTAACTTACACAATTCTGCCCAGTTAGTTTCTGTCTTTAATAATATGAATTTGTCTTTAATAATATGAAAATTTTTCTCAATGAAGCATTCCTTTTTAAAGCTCCAATTTATTTATAAACACAGGGATACTTACGGAACATAGTATAAAACTGCTGTGGATTAAGGTTCCACTTTCCCCATGGTGTCTTGTGGCCTTTAGATTGGGCATAATGGGCATGGTTAAACTCTGGTTCAGTTCCAAAGGAATCCAGAACTCTCAGCATGCATCTAAAAGAAAAAAAAAAAAAAAAAAAAAAAAAAAAAAAAGTAGGTACACATGCATACGTGTATATAGAAGCCTGTGTGTACCTATACACAGTTACAATAATTGAAATGTGCTTTGTCTGTGTTTGCAATAGTAGACAATTTACAAATTGAAGGTACATTTTCATTTCAAACATTTCTGTTCATATTACCTTCATAAAGATACTAAGATCAGCAAATTCAAGGATGTATCACACATTCAAATAGCAACCCTGGAGCTTATTTTGGGTTTCTTCGTTCTTACGGAGTGAAGTTATGATTTAACATCCAAGTAGAGCTTCTGGGAATGCTGCTGTGGTCACCTACATTTCTGAGGCTCTGAAGCAGAAATTAGGCAGAAGAAGAGAGGAGTCTTCATCTATTTTCTTAAGTTCTCATCCATTACTACAAATCAATGCAACAGCCAAAGGCCACATGCCAAGAAGATCAGAGCAGAGGAGTACTTTGTCTTTAGATAATTATATTTAGTCTCCAGGTTCTGACTTTTGGGTCAATTAGATCTACTAGAGAAGCACTGAGGACAGTTGAATTTGCTGAACGCCTGCAGTCAGACAGACCACTTATTTGTTTATGAAACATTTTGTCACAGACTTCTGAAGAAACAATATAAAAGTCAAATGTCTGCAACAACCAGTCTAAAACTGAGAGAAGCCTTGGCACTGCATTACAAAGGGCCTGGGATGAGAGAATCACATGCTGTCCTTTATTTAAACTCTTAATAATTCCTTGGAGAAAAAAACTCTACTTCATTTACGAATGGCTTCTTTCAAAAAAGGGTCCATAGCACCCGAAAAGCAGAAAAAGTCTCAGAATGAAGAAGAGGGCACATATTCTAGCACACAGATCCTGGAAGTCATGTTTCTAAACTGCAGCCTGCCAAACCTTTGATTCTGCTTGGACAGGAGCTTTATGGATGTCATACTGACCATTGGCTCCACTGCAAATGAACTGGACTATATGGCTCCAGAGATGCTGACCCTATCATTCTTCAGCCCTCCATAAACTAAATATTTGGAAAAGACATTTATAGGATGTGTTCCTGCATCATCTGCTGCTATGTTACAAAGATGTGAACTCTGATCACTGAAAATTGTATCCCTGGGCTCCCATGTGCTAAGGAAGAGACAAAACCTCAAGGGTGGCGGAGAAGGAAAACAGCTTCCCAGACTGCAACACTTTCCATTCCCCAAGCCCATCCATATTCTGTTCAGCAAACCACTGGGATTTTAGCTTTAAAATGTGAGAGAATTTAGCCTTCAAGAGGTGAAAGAACTTAGCTCCAAACATTTTTCAGTTTTAAAAGATGAAAGAATTCAGTCTCAAAAAGACATTTACATGTTTCTTACATGTTGCTTTTTTTCTCTCTAAAGTATCCATCACATTGGAAAACAGAAAAAAACCCAGCAACTTTTACATTCTAATCTGAAATGCCACCTTTATGTTTGAAAATACAAATAGAGCAAATTTACTTTTTTTTTTTTAATCTTCACAGAGATCTTCCAAGCAAAAAGGAAGTTAAGATATACAACACATTATGATTCACCAAACAACAAAGCTCACGGATCAGTTTCTGTGCAGTGTTTTATGTCAGATGTTCTCAATGAAAATATTTTACAACAGTGGCAATTATCTCTGCATCATACAAAACACTCCAGCAGGACCAAAACAACTTCTGCAATGATGAATCACTCAGTAATAAAAACCCTCTTATTTCTTGGCAGGCCTTAAAAGAAAGTTCTTATCAAATATACAGCTTTTGGCCAATTACGTGAGAACAGGGGAATGAAAAATCAGTGAAAGCTACTGAAAAACTGCAACATGGCTGGAGTCTGTCAAATTATATATGTAAGAAGCACTACATTACATTCAATAATCTCAAATTTGTTTCCTCTCTTTCCCCCCATATTCAGATGTAAGATATGTAGCACTAATTGTTCTCAGGGATACGTGTAACTACGTCCAATACACACAGGGTCTCTGAAGCAGGACAGGAAACATGATCCAATAGAAAATAAGCTAAACCACGAAGCAGGGAAAACAAAATATATTTCTATGATTCAGGCATAAACAAGTCAGAACAGCAAGAGAAAAAAAATCACAGCAGAAAGTTCAAGAAATGGTATGAGAGATCAAAGGCTCAAGTTGTGAATCTAATCCCTGAAACATAGGAGAAAAAAAATTGGTACAGATTTAAAATTTAGAACTGAATGTAAATAATTCAGTTATGCTGAACTGGTATTTTAACATATGTAGGAGTGTCTCAATTGTCTGACCAAGTACTATGTTCACCATTTGTTTAAATAAATAGTTTAAAAATTGAAATATTTTTAAACAAAATTTTGATTTTACATACAATGTTTTGGCATTTCTAAAGTGAAATAATTATTTTTGAAAATGACAAAGCAGTATTTTTTTTTTTAAAGCAGGGATATATTTTAAATTAAACTGCTGATCAGTGTGATTTCAACTTTAGGTTTTCACTCAGTTGCCCCTTCCTTCCTAAGAAGTCCCCTACCTTTAGCAGATAGTGGTAGAGAACTACAACACAGTCTATTCAACAACTAATTAAAAAAGAGGACTGGTGGATAGCAAACTGCTTATAGAAACAGCCATATTAAAGCATTCTTCTAAGATATTAGAAGTGACACTTTTTGGGCTTATTAAAAAAAATGTAGATAAAAGTAACCCAGCACTATGATCTGTTTTAAAGTGACCGGTTTTCCTTAAATATTGGGCAAAAGCACAACCTTAACTGGTTGATAACATTTATGAGGTAACTCATGATGCTGAGAGGAAAAACAAATGATTGAAAAAGGATCCTCAAATAGAAGAATGCATGCATGAAGCTATGAATCAATCCTTCTGCTCTAATAAATTCTGGTCATCTCTGCTAGACTCCAGACCCTGTTTTGTACACTGAACTTGAGAAACAGTATTGAGGAGAGTCAACAAAACCTGAATTGTAACTAATGATCTAAAACACTAATTTTTTTTTTCTACAAAAGCAAATTGAAGAAAAACTAGTATATAAAATATTGTAGAGACTGGCAGAGAGCGGAAGGAATTAATTTATTCCCCAGAACTATATCAGAATAAGCAGTAATGGGCAGTTTGCAAGAAATCAGCCCAAGAAAAACATTTTAAAGAAAACCTGAACAATGTAAACCAATAGCTGGGAAATCTTTTGCAATCTTCAGCAAAAGATTAAACAAAAATCTCTCAAGAAGGACAACTATATCTGATCTACTTTTCAGCAAGGCTATTGACTAGATGAGGTCCCCTTCCAACCCCTGAATTCCAGTACTGTAAAAGGGAGGCATTAAGTAATATTTTTTTTCTTCAAAAGCCTAACAAAACCTCCTGTACTATCTAAGTAGTATAAGGTATTTTACTTAAGACTTAAATTTAATTCTACTCTCCTAAACTAGAAAAAGTCAGTCATTATGAGTTAGCAATCAATGAAAAACAGATTCATAACTTAAAATCTAATGATTCATGAATTAAGCATGAAAAATTGAAGAGCTAATCTAATAATTTCAATGTCATGGTGCATCTCCGTGTCTTCTTTACAGACTATACCACCAGGAAATTGAAAGCAAAATGGAAGAAACATTTTAAATTTAAAAGTATGGTTTCTTATCCTGACAACAATACTGTATGTGATCACCCAGTGACAACTGCATCTGGCAGACAGACAACCAACTGTAGCTCACTGGAAAATGGGATTATCTTCATTAGCAGGCTCCTGAAAACTAGAATATCCGTTTACTTCTCTGCTTCAAAAGAGAGATTAAGAGTAATCTAATCTGCAATGTTGATCACAGTACTCTCATTTAAAATGACACTGAAAAGATCCAACCCTCTAGAAAATCCTGAGCTTGAGAGAAAACAATTTGTTTTGCCTGAAGTGAACACCTTTCAATACCTTCCTGCAAGCAGGATTTACTGGGCTTTATGGATCATGAAACAGCTAATTTAATTAGGTACAGAAAAATCAAAGTCAGTAGTTTAGATTTGGTTTTATTTCATTTCATGCTGCTATGTATTCATACAACTTGCTGATTTAAAGTTATTGACAAAAAGAAATGTGGTTCTAAAACTGCAGACACTAAGAAGGCTGTATATTGCCACTGCTCTCTTCCATTTCCAGATTGCAGAAGCACCAACAACTACAGTTTGTTCTTTAGACCTACACTTGAAGACAACTCTCTGCCCAGCATCTTGAAGAATGGAACAGAAAAAAAATGCATTGCTGTTGTTGGGCAATACAATTAGAATAGATAAATCTCCATAACTTTGAATTCAGTATGGCTACAAACACTGACAAACAAAACATACCTTGGGTATCACAAATAAACAATGAAATCCTATAATCTTTCAGTTTATCTACTGATTTACAGAAAAAACAGGGAGGAGGAAGGGGAAATGTAAAGAAGGGACAGAAAGAAAGGCAAAGGTGATGACTCAACAAGATAAAATAATTAATTAAGATTTAAAATGTTTGAATCCAGGAATCCCAAACTTGCTGGGGGGTGATAAAGATGGTTTGCAATAAACAGGTAATAGCCCCTTTGTTCCCCAGAGTGGAAGACCAAAGAGAACCACATTTTCCTCTTTAAATAAATTACAAATCATATTAATGTACTCAGCTCAATATTTTGACAGGTATTATTCAACAAAAGGTCTTTAACAACAATAACAAACAAACAAACAAAAAACAACCAAAAAAAAGCAAAACAAAAAGCAGTTAAGAGATCAAGTAAGTGTCATACTTACTGGTAATGTACCCATGATGGACCAAGGGTTTTCTTAAACTGAGTGAGACCCACAATATCAATGTAAATGAGTTCTACAATTTTATCCCCCTGGGTAGGACAGCCAGATCTGTTACCTACAACCTTCTTCATAATTCTAAACAAAGAAAGAAGGAATATGGACAAGTATTACTTTCTTAATGCCTTGAATAGATGCTGTAATACTATTTATACCAAAAATTCCCCTTTCCAAAAAAGCTGAAGTCTCATATTTTCCAAATGAGGAACCATGTAAGAACATTTAAATGCTAAAGATTTAAATAAATCTATATATATCAGTAAAGTGCTAATTCTCATGAAAAACCTCATCTAGTTTAAACAAGAGAATAATATGGTTGGAGTATTTAAAAACAGTATACACTAAAAGTATCTGAAATAATGTCTGAGTTTTATTGACAGCTTTATACTATAAGAGCTCTATAAAATATCATGTGTGTCATAAAAAACCAAAAACTACAGAAAAACTGTATGTGCTGAAGCTTAAAACAGATGTTCTATGCCTAATGCTGAACTAGCATGCAAAGCAACAGTGAGCCAGCAATCTGACCCAACATAAGCAATTAACTACATCAAAAGTAATGTGATTAAAGGATTTAAACCTTTATTTTAAAATGAGATCTGAGTGAAGAACAGCAGAAACTGAAGAAGAGGGATACAGAATTAGGCTAGTCTCTAACATTTCCTATTGCAGCTGGTTAAAGCACCTGAAATGTTAAAGAATAAGCTGCTTAGTTTGAATTTTACAACATTCATTTATGAAGTCTCAGGAGCCTGAAGCTATAATGAAAACACATTATCCTTTTCATAGCACATACACTTAGCTCATGAAAATAATCTTATCGTCTGTTTAGTGAATTATCACTTCCATTTTATGCTTCAAGAAATTATATACTGTTAAAAGAAGCTTCAAGAATTTACAATTCATTTTTTTTCTTGTATTCCAGTTTCAAAAGTGAAAGTAATCTCCTTACTCCTTGAGCTCTGCCAGTGAAGCTGAAATCCTGATGTCATGGCCCAGTAAGTAAAGAGATGTAATTAAATCACTCCACTGGACTAATTCACCAAGCGGGCCACCGCTAAACGCATTTTCTGCAATCTTGAATCCAGATTCTTTTGTCAAAAGCCCCAGATGTACAAGAATCTGGAAAGGAAAGTCATATGTTAAGTTACCTGCATTTTTTCTTTCTACTAAATTCCAATTACGTCCAAAAAAATTAACACCCCCCCTCAAGTACTCCCACCCCAATAATTTAATTCTGTAATCACAGAATCATTAAGGTTGGAAGGGACCTTAAAGACCATCAAGTTCCAACCCCCTGCCATGAGCAGGGAACCCCACCACTAGACTAGGTTGCACAAAACCTCGTCCAACCTGGCCTTAAAAACCTCCCTGGGCAACCCATTCCTGTTCCTCATCACCCATACAGTGAAGAATTTCTTCCTAATATCTAATCTAAATCTCTCCTCTCTCAGCTTAAAACCATTAACCCTTGTCCTATCACTATCTGCTCTGATGAAAAGCCCCTCCCCAGCTTTCCTGTAGGTCCCTTTCAAGTACTGGAAGGTGCTATAAGGTCTCCCTGGAGCCTTCTCTTCTCAAGGCTAAACACCCCAGTTTTCTTAGCCTGTCTTCATAGCAGAGGTGCTCCAGGTCCTTGATAGCTCTCTAGAATAGTAATTACAGGAATGTTACTGGATTGTTTTGCACTGTTATCTGCCACCAGTTTAGTAATTAAACAAACACCCAAAATTGGTGTTATTCACAAAATAATCTGTAATTCTTCACAAAAATGTGTGGGTCACATTAACTTATTTTGACTGAACAACCACTTATATTCTCAGGGAGGATATACTTGCTTATGCAGGACAGTATAGTTAAGGAAGGGCATGTTACTGGGAACAAGACATTAAGAAGTTGGAAAGACTGTGTAAGAGTAACAGGATGCTTTCTGAACCTCTCCTCTCCATTGTCACCAGAGGAGAGCTTTCTCTGTAATTCCTGGAAATTTGTTCTTGCTTTTCTAATGAAGCAGAAGACTTGAGTTCAAACACTTTGCTACATGCTTGGACTGATATTTGAGTGTGGGTACACACGGTGCCAAGCATAAGAACTCCCAAACACCAAAAACCTTATCCCTCACTTTGTAAAAGAACATTCAAAAAACCAATTTTGTTTTCATCCCAGCTTCTAGAACAGAACCTGACATACTAAAATGAAATCACCATATGTTTTACATAGTAACCTCAAAGGACTTTTGAAAGCAAAGAATAAGCGGTAGAGCATCCCATCAGAACTGCCTGTGCAGGACAGTACTGCTTCTGTTTATTCTTGAGTTTATGCATTCCTAGGTATTATATTTCTTCAATAATATAGCCTGGAGGGCTGCCTGAAAGGGAGATAGCTGCTCCTTGAGAGAGGGTGAGCCTGAAGTACGTGACAAACACCAGAGCTACAACATGGAGTCCAGACCTCATACAAGGACTGAGAATGTCAAGCATGGAGCTGAGCTACAGCCAGCCAGGCTGAAGAGAGGATGCATGGCCTGTTCTCACTCAGACTGGCTCCAGGAAGAACCAGGCAGGAAGGGAAACCCCTTGCTGTGTTTACACTTTTCAGCTTTATCTTAACTAGCTGAGGTACTTAAATTCTATCAAACAAAATATAACTTTTCACTTCAAGAATCTCAGAGTCTTTCAATACAACTCATTACAAGAGGTCTGATCTGATCCAATGCAAAGTTGTGGTCAATTTTAAGTCTACTCAAATCCAAAACAAATATGCCATTTAAAGTCTCAATTGTGGACAAACAAGATGTACAGTTGTTTTTTATGACACTCCAGTGGTATCAGTATCATCAGTAAATTTATAGTTTCTCCCTTTAGAAACTTCTACACAATCTCTATTGTACACAAAATTACAGAGGTTAGAAAACTTACTCAAAGATTGACTCATGGAAAGCATGTAAAACTATTTGTAAAGCAAATATTCATTCTATCAGTAATTTCAAACAGTGAAATACTTATTGAAACAAGGCACAAGTATAAATGTGAGCCTTTTAGATACATATGGTATTTCCACTCTGAGGCTGCTTCTGGGACAAAAAACTTATAAGCCTATATGACAGCAAGTGGCAGGAAAGAAAAATGCTTTAATTTACCTTTTTTCGTTTTCTCTTCTCCAAATTTTGTTTTTCTGCAAGTGATTTAATTGCTTCAATCCAGGTATCAGCCATTCGTCTGATGCGTAACATCATCCATCTGAATTCCTCATGTCTTGACATCATTTTGTAGAGATTATCAAAGTCAATACGAATTTCAGCCTCCAATTAAAACATTAAAAAAAGCCAAAACATTAGTCTTTAAGTCGTATGTTTTCCAGAAGTGAAAAACTTCCCAAATGTAAACTCTGTGCTTTACATTTTTCATTTGAAAAAATAAAAATAAATTTAAAAATACACTCCTAACACTGAAGTCGAGCTTCTAGTTCAAATGTTTAAGATATCTTTAAACAGACATTTCTAAGCCACATAAATTTCCATTATCTTTAATAACAGTACTTGGTAGCCCCAGAATATGTTTGCAATGTTTCACAATGTATTCTATTTCTGCAATGTAAGATTTGGCTTCGTTTATGTGCTTCAAAATGAGGTAAAAGTATCTCTACAGTACATTAGATGTGATGGTTGAAGCACATCAGTATGAAGATTCACGTGTATCATGAATCTTCCAAATACAAGGAAGTTTCCTATTATGCCACAAAGGAAAAAAAATTACTAGAGTATATATTGATCATTAATAATTAATATTTTCAAGAAAATACTAGTTTTCAAGCTAGACTGACCTAAAAGCAACTGGTTTTACAAAATTAAGACAGCCTGTGTCTTTATTTTGAATGTATTATTCAAATACAGCCCAGCAAATTTCTTAAAATTCTTAAGTGCTTCATAATTAGCAGTTTAGAAACAACTCTATGCCAGAAAGTTCTTAAAGGCAAAAAAATTAGGAGCAATGCAAATATACTACAAAACTGGTATCAATGTAAGCCTCCACCATTAAGGCGTTTTATTTATAAGGCCCAGATTTTGGGGACAATAAAAGTGAACAATTTCATATATGATGAACAGTTTATGGATTTGTAATTTTTCTCAGCATCTGTGTACAATATTTCATACATTTTAACACAAAAATATAATATAAATCCACCACCAAGACTGCAGCACAATACAAAGACTAGAGAAATTACATGATGAGCTACATATGTACAGTCAAGATGTCTCTCTTCAGTTTTGAGAAGCTGAGGAATAAAACCAGTAAATTCTAGTCTTGTTAGCATTTACGTGGCATGAAATTCCAGGATCTTTTGCATGACTCACAATCACTGAATTTTATTTTTTTTCATGTTGTAACATTGTTCTTACCACTAATTTCTGATCAGTTTCTTCATTAGGATTTTTTGCTCTCCAAGGTAAACGAGGACACCAATTTTCAACCTGTAAAACAATCACATGAAAATAAGTAACTATTACACCTTTCTATGGCTTAAATAAGGCATCAGCTGATTAATGCAAGGTAAAACTGCTTTTTTGCAAGAAAAGCTCAAGATGACCTTTTGTAATTCAATACTATTTTAACCTTGCAAATGCAACCAGAAGTAGCATTTAGGTATTCATTCATGATAATGAATACAGGAGATAAAACCTGTTCTAGGCAGAGGTCAGCTGTTAAATACTCAACAGTTTCTCTGAACAGTTCCTAAATGTTTTCAGAAAGTACCAAGTTTTTTATGCTTCTGGACCTTTTTTTTTTTTAATGTTAACATTTCCCATCTCCCTACAATATCTTTATAAAAAGGCAAAGCCTGATAAAATCCAAGGATCAAAGTTCTATCTTGTAGCAATCTAGATAAAAAGCTGAAAAAAGAATCAAACAAACCCACCCTATTTGAAGGTACAAAAACCCATAAGCAGCAATATCCACAACTATGAATAGTTGTAATTCTTAGAGAAACAGAATCAGTGCAAAAATACTTCTATTGTCTACTAGAAAAAAAAAAAAAAGTACAACTTGTAGTTAGGGAAGAAACAGCAAATGGATGCAAGTCACTGAAAGCTCCTGTGCCCTCCCTAGGGATATTGCTTGTCCTGCAGAATCTTTATTATTCATGTGCCTAAAGAAATTAGACTGTCCTCTTTGGGGAAGTAGGAATTTCACTGTTGGAGGCAAACCCATGGAAACAGAAACTGTACTGTAAGAAGAGAGAAACACGACAATGTATAGGCCAGCTAAGAGACTCCATCAGTACTGATTAAGTTCACAAGTTCCAGAGAATTAGAAGTCAGAGTTGCTCTCATGGTTCTTCCAGTCAAAAGCCTAACAAAATACAATTTTAGCTTAATTATGCTGCAGTAAGCCTGAAGCACTAGAGATTCAAAGCTTAAGATCATACCAAATGATTGCCTAGAAGACAAATAACATGCAAATAAATTAATACATCATAATCTTATTAAAGAGAATAAATGTATCAAGCTTAGATTTCTTAGAAAAATTATATAGCAACATTAATTTGAATCCTATAGCTTAATATACTCAACATATTTAATATAACATTTGAAAGCAGTGACTTGATTGACTTCTGATTCTTCAATGGTCTCCAACTCTGGAAACATACTAGAAATTGTAGCAACACACAAGCCTAACTAAGCTGTGGAATCACAGGTAGAAAAGAGCTGCAAGCTCCATTTTATAAATTGATCACAGTCCCAATCTCTTTTTATTTTTAAATAGCAAAAATATTTCAGAATTATTCCTAGCATTAAGACTGATCTACATGAAGAGAAGACATTTCAAGGACTACCTGCTCCTTTTCTGGCTTTACGTATTTCACAGTGTACCATCAGGGGTCCTAAAGGAATTAAAGATTTTTCAGAGCTATCAAGGACAGTTACCAGCAAACCACATTGACTGAACAACAAATACAAGTTTTTTAGTGCTTTTAGAAACATTCCCTCCAGTCTACATTAAATTATAGTAATTTTAATCACAAATAAATACTTCAGTAGTTGACTCAAATTAATATTAGTATACTCTGTGGGTCTAACACTCATTTTCCTAATTGATATTCTTAGTCAACTCCTCTTTTCATTGGAAAGACCAACTTGATTCACCAGAGGATTTTTAAATGCATACTCTTTGAAGTATGAAATATCAAACTTTCAACAAGTATGCCAGTTTTGTTATTTTCAGGACTGATAAATGAACTGGCCAGACTGCATAGGCATTCTCTTGTAGAAAAAGGAAATCATTCTACTAATTTTTATGAGCCAGTGGTTCATGTACCAAGAACTGCTAGATGGGGGGATAATAATTAACAAGAGCACCAAGAAAGCAAAAGGTGAAGGAAACAAACCTGACACACCATGGGAAGAGGGATGAGGAAAAAAACCCTTTTTAATTCAATATGTTGACTCGTGATAAAGCAGGGATGGAGAAGCAAAATACTGATGACAAACCAGCCAAACTAGGATTACTTTAACAGTGAATTTCAGGTAAACTTGGGTAAAAAAGATGAGAGGTATATATACCCCAAAGATGGAAAAATTTTGAGAGCAAAACCAGCCAAAACGCTAATACAAATTCTGTTGTTCAGAACACAAGTTAATTTTGCAAATAATTATAGAATCAGCTGGAATCAGTAAGTCATGGTTCCAAGAGAAACTGAGTGTAAAATCAGAGTATGATGGGAGTGATGGCAGCAGGTGGAACACTCAAACACCCAATGCTGAAGCTCATGAACCAGAAGTCACTTCTAGATCACAGTAGCTTTTATCAGGTAGACACTGAGTGAAGAAAGCAGAAGTGAAAAACTATAGCAGGAAAGCCTACACAAGTTGTAACATCTGTATTTAGAGGTGCCTAGTACTCAAGAAATATCAGACCTCCAAGAAAAACAAGGTTTTGAGGGGAAACAGAGATAGCTTTCTTCATCTCAAGTTCTTCCTTTCTGTTCAGTGAGAGCTACAGATGATCAACAGTGTATAAACACTTTGATAAAAGGGAGGGGGGTTTCAACTATAAAAGATATTGAAGACTTTAGAGACAGCCTTTATAGAACTACTATAAAAAAAGAAAACAATAGCATTGAGAGGTCTACAGCAGCACAAAGCCTTAGTAAAGACCGCTTAAAAATCATGTAAAGAAACTCAGTATTTTCTGTCAGAATTAAGTTTGTACTAAGCCAGTTGAGTAGCAAAATGTAGTCTGTGCTCTTCTCTATTTAGCCCCATGTAATGATACAGAGCAGTGCAGAATACACACTAATTCTGTTGCAAATAATTTAAATATAATAATTATCTTTTTACAAGACAACAATTTTATGTTCTTTCCATTGTTCTTTCATCACTTGGTCAACTCAAACTGAGCGCTTAAGCATTTCCTGCGCAGAACATGCAATATCTCATCTTTAAGCTTAGAAACTAGTTCTAATTGCATCTCTTGGCAAGGCAAACAGTTTAATGAGAGTTTCAGATGACCCAGAAAGTGGGTGGGTGGGTTTGCGTTTTAAAGAACCAAGTAATGGCACACTTCGGCTAAAATCACTTCTGGGTTTCTTCTACAGAACATGACAAGGTAGCCCCTAACTAAATATGAAACCTAAGTGGTTAAGTAATTTTCCTGAGTGCCTTGCATGACCCAATATGGCCCACAAGAGTAACTCAAGTTGCACTCATAAGTTCTGCAGCTGCTCCTCTTAGATTCAGACTACTAACCAGTGCTGTGGAAATTTCCTTGAAAAGGCAGCTGCTACAGTTACTGAATAATGCAGAAGGATGTTAACAAAATTACCTTTTTCCCACAGAATGCCAGTGAAAACTTCAACAATTTTTTTCAAACGTACTGATGTAAGTACACATCAGGTGTTATTTCAGTGAGTACTAGCTTAGAGCTACATATGTGGGAGAAAGAAAGACAAGCTTGTCTAAAACTGCTCAGACTGACTTGAGTGAAGGCCTTCAGTCTTCATCTTGTATGACAAATAAGCACCAACAGTCATGCAAGCTCTGTGAAAACACCTGGTGCCTGTAACTTCCTTTTCTCCCCTTGCTTCCAAATCACTTAAAGAAAGCCTATCAGCTTTCATAAAAACTACCAGGGACAAGAGAGAGACAGGGCAGGGAACGTGATGGCAATGATTAGGGACTTGGTTTAGCAACGTATTTTCTGGAAGCTCCTAATACAAAACAGGGTGACAAGGCAGGGGAGGGGGTTGAAACCTGGATTGGTTGGTAACTTGTGACAAAAAACATAAAACAGCATTAAAGCTAACTTTACCTTAGCAGGAATATTTGTGATCAAGTAACATATAGAACGGGGAAAAAGCCTGCATGCATACATATGAATGTGTGTATAGATGTGTATGTATATGATTATAAACAGGAAAATGACACAGGATGTGCTAGGGCTTCAGAATGCAGTTACTAATCTGGTATTGTTTCATTCATACACATCTTTTCTCTGTCATTGGCAATGATGACAGGAAGGATTATGACATCACAAAAGTGGGTCTAGATGAAATCTCAATCAGAAAGGCACAAATACTTCAGCTTTGTATTTGTTTAGGTACAGAAAATCCACATTCAACAGGCTCTAAGTTTGAGCAAGAGGAACAACAAGGCCAGTGGTATTCTTTTAGATCTGGCTCTTCAATTTGTTTATGTATTTGATTTGATCATTTAAGACAAAACACAAAAATTGTCTCTGAAGAATGAAGCAGGACTCCCTTTTCCAGGACACCTTCCTCACTGGGTTAGCATCAGTTCTTTCTCCAGGTTATTCTCTCCATAGCAACCAACATTATCATGCACATGCTTTAACAGGAAGGATGTGCTATCAGACTACAGATTAGATGTTAAAGAAGATTGTTGGGAAACAGCAACTGAAGAATTGAAGACTGACCATCTTTTGGATGACTGATAAAAATGCTAAACTATTAATTCATATTGATCTTTGTACTGTTGCAGTTTCGAGTCAGACCTAGTGTTGAATTCAATGCCTATCTAATGCACTAGGTGGTCTTTGACTATGCTCAAGAAACTAGGTTCACCTGAGATGTCATATATTTAGAAGTTCAAAATTTAAGTACTACTCGATTACAGATATGAGTGAAAAGTCAGCCAGCAGCCTAGATTCTGCTCAAACTCAAATCAAGAGTTTATATGGTTCCTATCATAGTCAATCCACTGTCACAGTGACTTCACGTAGCTTACAGGTGAAAAAAAAAACCCAACAAACAAACCTAAGAGATTAGAAGAGTATGTTTTATAGAAGCTTTGCAGGTATGTGTTCCAGTAATTCTTCCTCAGAAATACACTGAGACTGAAGGCAAGTCAAGATTGCAGCACGTCAGTATATTACAGAGCAAGTACTTCAAGTACAGTTATAAGAACCTGGCAAACACCTGTAGCATTAGAGTAGTTTGAGCATCTTCCAAACTGAATGAAAGCATACTTTGCCAGCAGCTTTCCACATCCAGAATTTCAGGAAGTCCTTTAGGCTTTTAAAAAGACTCATACTGGGAGTTTAATAAAACAGAAGTTGAAGGGTACTCTCTCCAAACACCTGGGATAATCTTCATTTTGGACTCTTCCAAATGGCAGGTGCAGCCCATGTACAGGGAATCTAGAGCAACTTTCTTTGCACATCAGGTGAACAGGGTTATTTCTCAGTGTAATTCTATTCATGGTGAAGTGCTGCTATTAAATCTCTTATGTCAGTCCCACAGTGGGAAATAAAAAAAACCAGTGCTGCAATATCTGCTGAAAGAAAGCACATCTTTAAATTTATTAGGCAGTACAAACGCAGGCAGAGAACTCAATGTTCACTGACAAAATCCATTTGAGTATTTCATGTGAAAGAACTGATCCCATTGGGAAGGTGACTGTCTCAACTTCTGTAGAAGCTGCAGTACCTATATTCAGTTAACCATTTCTTCAGTGACAGGTAGTCATTTTGAAGGTGCTACAAAGTCCACAGTGTGCAAGACAACTGCCTGCCTGTTTAGTGAGATGGAGGAGTGTACAACTCTGAATTTAGTTGTTTCCAAAGGCAATCCCAAATATTGTGTGCCAGGTACCTGCAGTACCATTGACACTGCAGCATGAAATTTTATACATAAGCAACAATCAACAAATGGTCTCTTATCTAAATTTGGTAATGTACACTAAATTGGATTTCTCTCTTACATTAGCACCTACACCTTTCCCAATAACATACAAAAAATACTAACCCTGGTCTAAAGTGACCAGGTAAAAAAGAGCCCCCTTTGCCCAAATCCAGGCCAATATGCTCATGGGTGACTTGGGGATAAAATACTGACAATTATTAGCATTTAAATTTCTTAGGGACACATGTAAGATGACAAAAGAACTTCAAGCTTTTGCTGGTTTAAAGTTTAGACAATACTGGTTCTGTCAATTCTCTAAGTAATTCTGTAGAATTAAAAACAAGTTGGTTTCAAGTTAAATTACAATAAAGAAATAAAAATCATCAACTCATCTCAATGTCAAAAATCGGCTTACACATGCAGTGGAAGTTGCGGAATGGGGACTTCCTCACAGACTCTAGTAAACTGCAGTGAACTAGCAAAACTACAAGGATTTGGGGAACCTGTATACTTATGATTCCCAGGTGTTTTCACTAAAATATGTCTCAGACTACAGCCTGCATTCTGGAAACAAATCCACATTCAAAACCACCTTCAGTTAGTATTTCTCTTCTCCATCTCTAAAAGCAAAAGTAACACTGTAAAGAAGAATACTACTGCAACTAAATCATCCATTCTGTTTCTATGAAGTCTGAAGAACCAAACCCAGTAATTCTCTCTAGAGGTACACATGCACACGCACAAAAGCTTTGGGAGTTTCAATGACTGGTCTTTGAAACAGTTTTAGTCTTGAAGTGTTGGATCCACCTCCAAGAAGGGTATCAAAAATTGCACTTCAAAGGGGACCTGCAAACCCAAAGGCAGGGATATTAATAAGATCCACTCAGCTCCAGCAGGTCAGTGTAATGACCCCTGGGCAGTGGTAACTTGTACCACAGCTACTGGCCCAGCAGGCCCACTCCTGTGAGGCAGGCAGCTCTCCCAGAGCAAGCACGTATCTCTAGATGAAGTAAAGGAGCAATAAGATCCCTCCACCATTTTATTGCTTGTTGTTAAGCTGGGAAACTGTGTGTGAAATTCATTTTCTGGAAGATATTTTTAGAAGCTTCATTCTTTAGGTGCTAACTGACATTTTGCAGTGGAATGTATTTTTGTACTGTCTAGAAATTCATTTCTTCACATTTCTCCCCAGAGGCAATGCTACCCATGAAAACTTTAACTGTGTCACTGACATTACATTGTTAAAACAACTGGCTTTTTCATAACTAAATGCTAAGTTTAAGAGGAAGTTAACTCTTCTCAATGGGCAAGCTCGTATCATGGTCAAAAGGAAACAAGTTCCAACTATCCAGAAACCTGTTAGTGTAAGTTGTTTTTCAATTTTTGCTACTTCTAAATCCCTGTCTTGCTCTGTTATTTAAGGGAATGTAAGCCTGGTTTTGCTATTCAAGCCATTTCTGTCTCCTACAGTCTTTCAAAGTCTCCAACACAGTGTTATGCACTATTGCATATGCATAGTGATATGCACAGATGCATATCATCCACCAGGAGTGATTCGGGGCCTGCATCAAAACATTGAGACAGAAGAGGAAAAATCCTTGCAGCTTTACCTGCAAGTCTGACCATGGGACAGCTTTAACTAAACCTGTAAGCCTCAATGTGTTGGATTGCTTCTTGCTTTCATTCTGCTACTACAGTCACCTCCCATCCTGCACAAGCAGCCAAGACACAAGAAGAGAAGGAGCAAAGGGGTGTCAGTTCTTATGTTCCTGCAGAAGGGTCATCCAAAGCAAACCAGAGGAAGCAGAACTGACAATGCTTGCACTCGTGCAGCTACTGCAGAACAGACGACATGGGGCATCCTGCATTTTCACTGCTCTCCATTTTGCAGACACACATAGAGGGGGTTTTATTCCAAGCTTTGTTTCTAAACCTTTGCATAAACTGTGGGTAAGCTGCTGTGCATCTCTGTGGTTCTGACCCATATTACACACCAAAATTTAATATCTCAAGCTCCTTTGTTGACAAGTTTAAAACTGCATTACAGTCAGTGCTAGGTGAGTGTAAAGGAATACACCAACTGAACTGCTTCAAAAGAAAAAGGCAGATCTCAAGAGAATGAAAAAGCACAGGGACTTTTCACACTAGATTGTAAAGGCAATTTTAGGAGTCAAATGCACAATTTGATGCATATTCTGTTTTCAAACTGAGGCTGTGTGTAATTTGATGCATATGTTGCCTTTTCAAACCAAGCATGTGCACAAAACCATCTTCCTCCTATACAATAACTTTAAAGTAAAAAAGAAAAATCTTAACCACTTCCAGTAATCTAATGCATTTTAGTGTTTTAAATCACCAGTTCTGACTTGAGAGCTCTGTAGACACATTTATCACTCAGCTGTGCAACCACACTATGAACTGTCAACTCTTCATCACTGTCCACTTTGACAAATTACTCTCGCAACAGCATTTCCAAGTTATCCTTAGGAGACAATGCACCTCATAAATCCACATCATTGTAGTGTTATTAGAATTTCATTTCATGCTTGCATTTGCAAACATTTTAAGCTTTCAACCTCTGCTGCTGGGCATTAATCATTGAATTAATCATAGGATTAAGAACGCCAAATTTAAACTCAAGGTTAATAATATGCTCACCCAATATTAGTTTTACATTCTGTCATGGAAGAAGAAAAAAATAACAGCATCAACTGAGTTTTCAAACTTGATGATCAGAGAAGGTTTTCACAGAAAATACTATGATTTAAAAGAAATGCAAAATAATAAATGCCATTTAAGAACAGGAGATTCTTAAATTCAGTTGACATGGATCTTCATTTTTAAGATAACATCTGCATTAAAAACATGAAGCACCACTTGGTTGACAAGATGGTTATGAAACCACATCGCTAGCTTCTATGAATAATAACAGGATAAATGATATAGTCATCCTGTATATTTTCCTTCCCCAGCTTTATAGCTGATAAATAAATAAACAAACCAAAGCTGGTAACAGAAATGGAATGAGTCAGATTTGTGATTTAACCTAGTATTTTTTATTCCTTCACATATATGTTTCAGATATGCATTTAACTGGTGGTTAATGAGCAAGTCCAGAGGAGGGCCACAAAGATGATGCAAGGGCTGGAGCATCTCTCCTATGAAGACAGGCTGAAAGAGTTGGGGCTGGTCAGCCTGGAGGAGGGAAGGTTTGGGGAAGGCCTTATAGTGGCCTTCCAGTATCTGAAGGGGGCCCTACATGAAAGCTGGGGAGGGACTTTTTACAAGGGTGTGTAGTGATAGCACATGGGGTAATGGTTTTAAACTGGAAAAGGGGAGATTTAGGCTAGATGTTAGGAAGAAATTCTTTCCTGTCAGGGTGCTAAGGCATTGTAACAGGTTGCCCAGGGAAGTTGTGGATGCCTCCTCCCTGGAGGTGTTCAAGGCCAGGTCGGACAGGGCTTTGTGCAACCTGGTCTAGTGGAAGGTGTCCCTGCCCTTGTGGGGGGGTTGGAACTAGATGATCTTCTAGATCCCTTCCAATCCAAACCATTCTGTGATTCTATTCCAAATCTGTTGGGTGTGGGAAGAGCCATGGACTCTTCTTCCCCAGTCGACCCTGCCAAAAGGGACCTTTGTATACTTACAGCTGTGATCATTCAGATTGGGTTTTGTATTTATTTGTGTATTTGGCTCTCATCCCATGTATTACTGTCCCTTCCTTATTCCAGCACACCTGTTCTAGTTTTAACCTCTAACCCCCTTAAGTCTCTCTTCCTAATTCCCCTTTTACCTTCCCATGGGAGGGTGGAAGGGAGTAAAAGTCAGCAATTCTGTTCTCTGTTTTTTTGTTTGCCCCAACCACTAAACCAAGACAGTTAACAAAAATATGGAGCCACCGTGATGTTCCCCTTCTGCAGATTAAAAGATTACTGACCTCACTGAGGTAAATAAAAAAGGAGCATGTGGACCCATCTACACCATAACTTGCGTAACAGGGATCCGATCGCCACATATCTTTCATCCACTGCAACAGAACAAAAACAGCCTGTTATCTTTAAGTACCATGTAACAACTCTGCACTATTTTACAATGAACTCAGAAATAACAGGTGAAAGCTGCAAGCGACTGACTACATCCCACCAGACAGAAATAACCAATACTGAAGCAGTTTTATGAATATTTTGCAGAATACTCTGCATTCAGCTCCAGTGAGGAAGTAACAACATACCACACATGAGCACACTTAACACAAACTGGTAGCCAGGCAAGCAGAGACAAATATCAAAAGGAGAAGATATTCAGGATGCAGACATAAGGGTGTGGCTGGAGCTAAACTGCATTGCCTCCCCCCACCCCGTGTTACACTTGCTCTGGAATTTAACAGATAATTTCAGTTACCAAGATTGAAATCTGCCTGACTCTGCCAAGAATCTGCCATTTCTGCAGATGCAAGTAATTAATTTAAATTTGTACTTTAATATTCAAACAATGCATTACATAGTCACTAAGCAGCTAGTTTGGCAAAATGGATGAAAAAACAGACCAGAGATTTAAAACTTAAGAAAATTTTTTTTATATATAGTATTGCCTAAGAATAGTATTTAGAGAAAAAAGGCAACATAATTTCACATATACTTTGGTACTACTTTGTTTCCGCTTTCAGAAATAAATCGTAATACTTGATAATGACATTTAAGTGTCAAGCACTTTCACATTTGTCCCCCACTACTAAAACAGTATCCTTATGCTTTAAATGTATTGTGGGGGAAAAAAATGCCAAAAAGCTCTACCCCTCAAAGTTTTGGTTTTGAAGTTTTTTTGTTTGTTTCCTTTCCAACCAAAGTCTGATGGCTTTCAATATTTGGCCTTTCCAACTGCATTATTAATAAAATATAGATTTTATGTAGAATCAGCTGTGAAGCCCAAAGTTCTTTTTGCACACTTAGTGCAGCATCTAGATTATTGGCAGAAAAGGCAAAATACTTTTAAGAGAAAGGAAGAACCAGACAGAGTTGTTGGCAAAGAGGGGAAAGAACTACAAATGCCTTCCTGAAACAAGAAAGGACTGGTGTGAGGTACCAACAGAATTCCAGTCCCAGGATAGAGAAATGCCAGACCACTCATAATGGGGAAAAAAAGAAGACTTTCCAAAAAGAAGAAACTTCCTGAATAACAAGACAGCATTAAAATAAGGCACTTGATTGAATGGTATAGCATTTTAAAATAATACGTCATTTTATGCCTGTCTTAATAAGATGCCACTTTATTTCTCTGCAGCAGTAGCATTAAAAGCTTGAGGTGAGCAGTGCTGTAGTGCCACACATGCCTACACATCCTCTTTTTACTTTTTGACCCAGTTATTCTTGTTTTACATCACTGGCCAAGTACTGACCTCTTGCAACCTATGTTCAGTTCTTAACAGAACACACATAACAAGATTACAAAGTCTTCCATTACCTTTATTTTCCCTTCACAGTGAGGAAAACCATCCATAGGAGGCAATTCACACTGTTCTTGGGCTCCATTTATGAGATCTAAAGAGAAACAGACCATAACTGAATTTAATTTTACAGTTCTGACAGCCTAATGAATCCTTCCTTTTATTTTCATGAATCCACAATCCAGACTGACTGAAGAGTCCTACTGTGTAATATTTATTATAACATTAAAATTCAGTGTACTCTTTTTTGACTATAGAAGAAAATGGTTGCACAGATTTCAACTCTGACTTGCAGTAAAAGTGCTTAACTAAAAAAACATGTCTATGAAGACTTAGAAATTAAGCTAATCCATACTGAAAATAATTAAAAGCAAAATATCTTCCTAATTAAAGTCTGCCTAAAACTACTAAACAGCCACAATTTGTTTCCAATTGCCAAACATTTCTAAGATGTATTTGCTCTTAAACACAAAAACTAGATTTTCCGGTTCTGTTATCACTTTATTAAATACCCACTATCTGCAACTTGCCATTAGATATATGAACCAATTAATACATGCTACAATTAATATGTTACTTACAGCCAAGTTGCACTATGTCATATCTAATAAGAAAAATTTCTGATGGTCCCCCAAGGATTTTTTTTCTTTTTTGCCTATTTTATCATTCCTTATTTTTGAAACACAATATAAAGTGCAACACAGAGCAGTATTTCTAGCCCATGAGCTAAGGAAAAAGGAGAAGTTTTGAAGGACATATCAATTTCAGGGAGGCTCTTTCCTCTAAGAATTTAGAAGAACCCTCTAAGGCAGGCTTTTAAGGCAAGGAAAACTATTAGCATGGTGGAGAGATTCTTGCCAAAGGCAGAAGAGGATGAGGTTTTCAATTTAGGTAGTTCATCCCAGAGTTATCTAAATTACACCTGCATCATTTCTGTCTTTTCCTACAGGCAAGAGTCAAGATCATTAATGCTAGACATCCATCAACCTAGGAACACTTCATGCTATTGCAGATATAGTGCACAATTTTACCCAGAATATGCTAATCAGATCTCAGACAGAAAAAAAAAAAAAAAAAAAAAAAAGAAAAGGCTGCTGCACTAAAATAAGAGTAGGAACAAGATCAGTGGCTAAAAGTTAGAACACTGAATTATATACAAAAAAACACCTCCTGATTTATCTGAGTATTTTCCATGTTTTTGCAAATAGTTTATTTTAAAGATAAAAACTTGAAATATGAGTGAAACATTGCAAAATGGAGCAGATGGGGAAAGAAAAATCATGCCAGGAAGAAGACACTTATTTGGCAGTCTCTGCAGCAGCAGTAGTTTGACAACCTGATCTGTACTGCCAATGACAATAACACTGAAGCAAAGTATTTTTTAAGTTGACCTTGTAATTGCAAATCAGTAAGCACTTTCAAAATATTCTCCCTTATCATCTTATCCTTAAGGGATTCTTGCAGACTAGTCCACTAACATCTATGGCTCTGAATTCTGCTTCAAGTAAGAACTTACAGAGCACGCATACAAATATCAACACTGAGTCAGTGCAGTTAAATAACAATGGGAATTCTTGCCTTACTTACTTTTTCTACTGTTCCAGTGCTTTCTTAAGGGGTATTTCTTCTCAGCCACTATCAGACCCTCAACGTGCCAGAACTACCATTCAACTTGACTCTTGGTTAGATCACTGATATGGTGTCAGTTGAAAATAGATCTTGTCCAAGACTAATACTTGAAACCAGAAAAAAATTTGATTGGCACTAGAAAGGAAGCAAAGTAGAGGTGGGAATGACAGTCCCCTAGGGACTGCAGTTGCAGGAGAAGCCACTGGCACACCCAAGCAAAGCCATCTAAACACAGAACCTTTCCATTGCTTGCTCTGGGCTAAGCAATCCTCCTGTGCAAGATGGTCAGTCCTCCTTAGACTTGATGTTACTCGTTCATCTCCTTATTTATCAAAAGTAGAGAAGTACTGAAAAGCTGCTCTTCTGTCCTTTCTGCTGATTGGAAGATACAGCTTGCCAACAAGTAGGATTGTGAACTTTGTCTTCTATCTCTAGCCATCTTTGTTATCTTACTGAGTGCCACCCAGTTCAGAGGGTTAGTCATGTAAACCCCCTCTTCTTCTGAAGTTCCTTTAAGTAGAGGGTAACACATAAACACAAGATATATTTTTTTATTTTACGGCACAAACATCTACCATGCTAAGTTTTTCACTTATACCATACTGCATTTTAATGGGCATCTCATGATCTGTCAAAGAAAAGAAGGATGGAGAAAAAACCCACAAGATACAGAAAACGGCCTCATTTTTGGTAGATACAAGATTATAGTCTAAATACCTGTTTGCTCTTGCCATACATAAAACTTTTGTGCATGCCTGTGTGTTTTTGGGAGATGGGCAGTGATCTCTGCTACTGTTCATTGCTCAAAAGGTTTTACAGGATCCCTGTACTTGAAAGATCTCCTTGCAAGAATATAAATTGCCTTGTTGCAACAGTCACATATCACACCCACCATACACTTTAACAGCTCAGATGAGCTGTGGCAGTACTACACACCAATACTTCCCAAGCAGAAAGCCAGCCTTCCCAGCTCTCCCTGTTGCTGCCCATCCCCATAAGGAAAATGCAAAAAACAGACATTTATGTCAGCACAAGATTTTTCTCAGACTTCTGGTCTTCCCTGTGGCCAGCTGCACCAGGGCTTTTGCTGAGCAGGCCCACTCCTGCTTTTCCACTGGGATGATTTACATGCAAGCAGCATACTGATCTCCCCAGGATAATCTTTATGTACAAGAAACACCAGCATCCACCTTCATCAACTCTAACCATGTTAAAATGCTTGGAGAAGAATTAATGCCTCTAACAGTATTTCCAAAAGAACATGATGATTTTTTTTAGTATTTTCAGGAGTATCTGACACAAGCGGACATGTGGTTCTTTGTTGCCAGCTATGCCTAAACCACAGCAGCTCCCAGCCTTTTTTTTTCCTTAATGATCAGAACTTGTGTGAAGAATTCAGCTCCTCTAGCTGCTCACTACTAACCATTTGCTGGAGCCTGCAGGCAACAGCTAGTCAGCTATAAGCAACAATAAGACTCCTTTCCTCATCCTTATTAAACTAGCTGTTCTGAACTACTGTTACTGGCACAGGAAACATTCTTGTAAAATCCCTAAAGTCAAGGAAGTCGTGACCAGCCTCTTTCAGTAACAAGTTCATAGCTACACATTAATGGACCAGTTTGCCCTCAAACCATGCTGAACAGCTGGACCAGCAGAAGCAGCAGCAAGGGCTGGACAAGATTCCCTAGCATGTCTCTAGCTCACTTCGGGCCCATACTGCCAAGTCAGCTCTCTCACTTTTTTTGTGCACACGCTTTGACCATCCACTCAAACTAGAAGCAGGCTCTTCTTAAAAAAGAATCCAGAGGTGAACAAAATCTTGCATCCCCATGAACAGCTGGGACCAACCTCAATCACATACGAGGAATTTACACTTTTGAGTGGATCACAGGCATGGGGAGATGAAGAAAGTTGAACCCTGGGGATGCTGATCTACCCATCTGGATCTTCCAAAGCATGAAAAGCAATTATTAAAATACAAGTCAAGAGCTTAGAGTTTCTTATCATTTGGAGTGATGAAAAAAACCCCTAATATCTGATAAAGGTTCTTGTTAAAAAGGTTTGGCTAGAATTATTAAGTTGCTGCCAAATTAATGTTGAATAGCTCTTACCTAAAGGGGAAAAAATACATTATTAAGCCAGACATTAAAGTTACTGTTGGAAAGCAGTATTTGAGAAACCATAAGAACTTTTGCCTTTAATTAGGATGTATGTAACTTAAAATGCAAGTTCTGAGATCTCCTTTCCCAGCTAAAACTTAGAACTTACAACCAAAACAGTCAGAAATACAGTAAGTGTTGTGGCAGTACAAAGGAACAGCAGATAATACATAAGCTTTTTCTCTTAAGCTTTGTGTGAACCATGGTATTAATTTCTATTCTGCAGACATCCAAGTGTTTTTGAAGTCATGCACAGCTTTTATCCTCTTGACTGCTTTCATGCAAAGACCTACTTATTCAACATTTATCTCATATGATGTTAAATTAAAAGTCAATGCACTGACAAATTGAAAATAAGAATGTGTGCATATTGTAAACCCAAGACCACAAAGGTGTTACAGAGTATCCTGGAAAAAATTGAAAATATTGATAAAACACCAAGCTACTCTCGATTTTAAAAAGCTCTTTAAATATAGTACTCTGTTTGTGAAGTCCTGGGATATTCAATATCTAACTAACCAAAACTCCATCCCCATGTTTAGAAAAGAGCCGTACGTTCACTTTGCAAATACATGTGATTGTTTAGAGATACACAGCTCTGCACTGGAGATCGTTAGTGCACAGCAAGTGAACCTGAACTTGTGAACAATCATCAGTTATTTCATAGCAAAGTCTGGCACATTAGTATGAAACAGCTGGCAGATTTAAGCTAAGCCACCTAACCTTGCATTGGAAAAGATACTTCTCCCTTCTTGCTCTAGATGAACAACTATACTGGCAGAAGTCCTATGCCTTTGACACTGCCCTCTTTAAACAGCAGTTGACAGGTACAGGCCTTTATCATCTCTTGCAACTGAACTCCATATCCACACGTTTAGTTTCTTTTAGTGAAGGTCTACAACACCCAAGAGAGAATCGTGGTTAAAAGCAGAATCTGTGATAGGGAATTAATTTTTTGTTTGCTTTCCACTTACTCAAACAAAACAGTAAAAGTGAGTGCTACATACATATTTTGTCCCTTTCCAATACTGCACCATCTTCTAAATAATGTGTTTTGTAAGAGGCTAAAAATTCTGCTTCAATTTTTCTCCATCATACAGTTCGGAAGTTTAGAAATAATCCACTAAGACAGTGAGTAACAGTTATAAGTAGTTACTCGGTAGCGATATTTTTATTGATAGATAACTCTATTGGTTATAAAAGTTTTAAAATAACAAATAGGAAAAAAAGGCAAATTAAACCCCCACAATACTGTTGAAATTACAAACTGTGACACCACCAGCCTATCTAGTCTTCCACAGAACAA